TTAGAGAAAATAACACAATTAATCAGACGTGTATGGACACAGTGTTTATGAAGCTATTGACGTTTTATTGTTTGACGGTGTCTATTGTTAGCATGAACAATTAAAATATGTATTTAAATGCACAGAAACGCTTTGGAGGAAAACAAATGCGTGTGCATGGATGTAGGCTTGGTCTAGAAGTGCATTCTTTTTCTTCCGATTGAAAAACTTGTCTCAGTTCTGTGGTATTAACACAAAAAGAGTGGTACATTAAATGTCGCCCAAACTGCAAAAGCACAGGTGTGCATCACTCTCTGTGGTCATACTGTCATGAATATGTAAGTCTTTACTGACTACCGTGGTCCGATCAAATGTTATTAGCGCCGAAAAGACGAATATCGAACATAAAACTAACTTTACCATGGTTCACCGTGTAACGTGAAACCGAAAATTCAAATAAGAAACCAAAGTCAGCTTTTAGCATTAGCGAATCGGCTCTTATGAAATATCACCTAGCTAGCGTTAGCAAGCGAGCTCTTTGGTGCGTAAAGCTAGCTAATTTATTAGCCTGGCTTTAGTGGTCGCCATAAATGTCCCTTGTACTAATTTAATCCACTGTTTCAATTTATTCAATTTTGTGTGTTTCTATGAAAGCGCTGTTTGCACTCGTTAAGGCTCTCAGACACGAGTGCTGCTGGAGTTTTTAAACACTCTGTCCACTCACCGTCCACTCTATTAGACACTCCTACCTTGTTGATCCACCTTGTAGATGTAAAATCAGAGAGGACAGCTCATCTGCTGCTGCACAGTTTGTTGGTCATCCTCTAGTCCTTCATCAGTGGTCCCAGGACGCTGTGGGCTGGATATTTTTGTTTGGTGGACTATTTTCAGTCCAGCGGTGATACTGAGGTGTTTAAAAACTCCAGCAGCACTGCTGTGTCTGATCCACTCAGACCAGCGCAACACACACTAACACACCACCACCACATCAGTGTCACTGAAGTGCTGAGAATGATCCACCACCCAAATGGTACCTGCTCTGTGAGGGTCCATGGGGGTCCTGAATTATGATGAGTTCTCATGAATAAATCGGCCATAACTACTCGACAGAGAAAGACTGAGTGACACGTACATGGACAGAAAACATCACAGAGATTGTTCCATATATTAAATAGATTTATCATTGGAGGCTCAAGAAAGAAACCCAGGTCTCAAGTATGGGGTCATTTTAATTTAGACAGCCAAAATAAAGTGAGATGTATCATATGTGACCAAACGCTGTCATCCTCAAATAACACCTCTTCGATGCTTCCTGACAGCATTATAATTATGTCCATTACCACAAATATTACAATATGACTCTTCATTACCTGGGAAGTTTATGACGTATACATGATGAGAAGCCAATGTAACAGGCAAATAAAGTTTAATAATTTTTTATCCATAGTTACGATGGAAAATCATATGTCAGTGGTATATTTATTTATTTAATGTTCAAATGATTAAGTTAACACATTCATGTTGTAATAAATGTTTATTTGTGCGAATAAGCTTCAATGAAAATATATGACAATCAGTGCAAAACAGGAAATTGAACTGGACAGAAGATGCTAGCATGGAGCCAGGTGTCAAATGCTGAAGTTGGTTAAACTGTGTTGACGGCTCGAAAAGCTTCATGACGGTCATCACTAGTGCTCCGGTAGAAACACAATCACACACACATCAGCAAATCCCTCAGTGTGCAAGTCACTTCTAATCTTCATGCAAATAAAACAAAAAAAAATCCCCAAAACACAAAGGACGAAGCTGTCCATTTCACCCAGTTATCTCTATTTACCAGGTATTTTCCCGTTCCACCTTAAATGGTGCACCAGTTACATTCTGGCACCTGAGGCTGCTCCATTTAAGGTGTAATGGAAAAGTTCGAACAAGACAAGGTGACAAGGTGCTGTTGCAAGTATCTATACAGATTAAGGACTGCTGTTACTTACCTACAATGCTTATTCAGCATAAACAATAATTGTTCATAAATGAATATAGCTAACTACTACATCAAGTTAAGATCCAATGTAAGGGCTATTAAATGAAACAAGCTTAATATAAAGCCAGAGAAAAAACAATCACACCAATGTTTCTTCTATACAGAACCGCTACATTCTCTCCGACTTTCTGAGTGAAATATTCTTGAAACAGAATAACTTTGGACAGTACCATTATTAACCTGCAGGTCTGCCATGGTATTGAATGCAGTCGGGCAGTGATGTTGACCGCCACATAATGCAGTGGTCAACGATGTTCTTTTTGCTGTGACTGACATGCGTCTCAAACTCTCACAAACGCCTTGGACATGGCTTATACACTATATGGACAAAAATATTCGGACACACCTTTTAATCATAGAATTCAAGTGTTTCATTCAGTCCCATTGCCACAGGTGTATAAAATCAAGCACCTAGCCATGCAGTCTGCCTTTACACACATTTGTGAAAGAATGTGTCATTACAAAGAGCTCCCTGAATTTGAGCTCTGTGAGTGGTATTATTGAAAAGTGGAAGTGTTTAGGAACCACAGCAACTCAGCCGCAAAGTGGCAGACCATGTAAAGTTACAGAGCAGGGTCGTCGAGTGCCGAGGAGCGTAGTGCATAAAAGTCACCATCGCTTTGCTGACTCAACAGCTGCAGAGTTCTGACCTCCTCTGTCATTAACATTAGCACAAAAACTGCACCATAAGTTTCATGGCATAAGTTTCCATTGCCGAGCAGCTGCATGCAAGCCTTACATCAGCAAGCAGAATGCCAAGCATCAGAATGCGTTTCCACTGGACTCTGGAGCAGTGGAAACGTATTCTGTGGAGTGGCGAATCACACTTCTCTATCTGGTAGTCTGATGGACAAGTCTAGGTTTGGGGAATGCCAGGGGAACATTACCTGCCTGACTGCATTGTGCCAACTGTAAAGTTTGGTAGGGGAGGGATAATGCTATGGGGTTTTTAGGGATGTTGGCCTAGGCTTTTTATTTTTATAGTTCCAGTGAAGGGAAATCTTAATGCTTCAGCAGACCAAGACATTTTGAACAATTGTATGCTTCCAACTTGGTGGGAACAGTACATTTGGGGAAGGTCCTTTTCTGTTCCAGCATGACTGAGCCCCAGTGCACAAAGCAATGTCCATAAAGGCAAGGTTGGGTGAGATTGATATGGAAGAACTTGACTGGCCTGCACAGAGCTCTGACCTCAACCCCATCAAACACCTTTGGGATGAACTAGAACAGAGATTGTGAGCCAGGCCCCCTCGTCCAACATCAGTGTCTGACCTCACAAATACTTTTCTTGATGAATGGACAAAAATTCCCACAGACACACTCCAAAATCTTGTAGAAAGCTTCCCAGAAGTGTATCAGCTGTTATAGCTGCAAAGGGGGAACAACTTTATATTAATGCCTATGGATTTAGAATGTGATGTCTTGTGAGCTCCTGTAGGTCTGAATGTGAGCTCCTGTAGGTGTAATGTGTAGGTGTCCCAATACTTTTGTCCATATAGCTTGTAAACATGAAAACTAGAGAAGGAAACCGCTACTGCTTGGAGCTTACTGAGGCGGGGCTGAGGGTGAGTGGGATAGAGGACAGTCATCTTTATGTCGTCTCCAGTGCTTTGTGTTTCTACTGGAACTTAATGACTTGGTCCGTCTCTTGTTTCAGGTGAACCCTGCTGTTATTCAAAATATTGAAAAGGAAGACAGAAAATACCATTGCTGATCCACATATTGATGATATAGAATTGCCTGTTTAACCTTTCTGCAACATAGAGGCCCTCTAAAATCTCTTTGGGGTGGATTTTTATTTTGGAAAATGAGATTCCCCTGGCACATTTATTACATTAAATTCATTGATTTTTGTTCATTGTTTGGATTTTCAATAAAGGAGAGAGAAATGCCAGCTTTGATATAAATATATAAACATGAAAGTGTTTACTTCATGTTTTATGAGCCTGTTGAAATTCAACCTACATTTGTAATTTTTGTATATAGCGTTTGAGGCAGATGATAATGTGCTGCTTTGTCAGAATAAGGCCAGTCACCAGACTCGCTCTCATCATCTGTGCAAATTCTTGTGAAACCAAATAAATCCATCTTGAACATGCCTCTAATTATTTTAGGGATTTTGTTCAGAAACCTCAGATGATGATAATGTGTGTATAAGAGACAACGGACTGATATGTTATGCTGCCTCTTGAATGGCTTTTCACCTGTGTTTCCGTTCAATAAAAGCACACAATGAATTGCTTCTTTTGTTGCATACTGAAATCATTTTGCCAAGAATTGTATCTAAAGCGGGGTTTCTCAATCTATGGGCACTGGACCACCAGTGGGCTGTGAAGCACCCTCTAGTGGTCTGAGGGTCTGTAGTCAAGGGGAGGCAGTAATTTGTAAGTGAATTTTCCTGTTGTTTGTAAAATGGTTTGTAGTTAAACGCATACAACATGTTGTTAGCAGAGGTTTTAATGCTCAAACACAAGGTGGGTAAATTTGCTAATGCCAACTTTCGCCAACTTTTTGGTTCTTTAACCAGAGCCCTGAGAAAAGTGGTTTCCCCTTGTATATTACAGCTGGAGTGGATTTAAAGTACAAAAATGATGCTGACCCTAAAAATGAAACCCTAAAAACTAAAGAGACTCTCGTATCTAAACAATTACTGAAGATCTCGAGTCCAAACAATTCCTCTTTTGGGAAAGCCAGTGGAGTATTTTCAGTGAAAGCATGATGAACTGCAGCTCCAAATCACAGTCCACATCTACTTTGTACATTTCTATTCTTTTTTTACTTTTTCCCCCTTATTAACATCCCTACAACCATGTGGATTTTTTAACATGTTTTATGTTTTCAACAAACCTACTGAAAACCAGAATCGCCAATCAGATCTTTTTCAGGCCCTAAATCTCAGATTTTCAGTGTCAGCATTTAAGGAAAGAAAAATAAAGTTGTATTTAAAAAAAAAGCTGATTTTAGTTTTCCTGTGGGCCGCTCAGCTTTGTAAGTATACACAGGTGGGCCTTTGAGAATCCCTGATCTAAAGTACAACACAGTTCTGTGCCAATGGAACCAATAACACATAATACATGCCTTATGCTTTTACTCTCCAGTTGGCCAAAGGCGACCATTTATCTTTAATCACTACATTTACAAAACAAAGCATTTAAGATCACAGAATGGAGCTACACATACACACACGCATATATGATACAATGCTAAATATTTTGGGTGTTTTAAAATCAAATGTAAATCTTGATGTGTTCATAAAAAAATTAGACACTTTTGGTTAGAAAATTTAGATTACCACTGTTTGGCCACACAGCATCCAAGAAATAGAGGTAAATATTACATTGTGTTATAATTAAGACTGGACACTCACAACATTATTTTTATTCAAAGTATCTCACTCAGATGATCACTGATACCCTTTTTAATAAGACTGTCCTAAATAATGTTTACAGTAATTTAGAGAAAATGTCTCATCAACATTTAAAATGACAGGAAAAGACAGTTGATAAGAAAAAAGATGAAAGCACAGAACATGTAACTAAGTCAATATTCTAAAAGGGGGGTTCATGGAAAAATGCAAGAAGAACTTGTTATTGTAAGTAACGATTTCCCTTTTGAAGCAGTTCTGTTGGCATCCGTGTCAGATGAGTTGACCCTCAGCTCAGGATCCGAACAAGAAGCTCGATGCAAAACAAATTGTTCCAAGACTCGTCTTTCAGTTCCCATAAGACAGCCACTTTTATCTTTGAAGAAAAAAAGAATAGACAAGGAAATTCCTCCACCTTCACGTGACTGCAGATGCATTCACTGCTAACAGTTATGACTGGTTCATAGGGAAAATGAACAAACGAACAAATAAATATACAGACAGACAATCTGAGGACATTCGTCAGTCTAAAATACTTACTGAGGGGTACTCTGTCTTGACAAGAAGCTCACTGACATAACTATATACTTTCTGCTTCTGAATGGGGCACTGGATTGCAGACTTGCAGCCATCATCAGTAGGGATGGAGAGAGGAACAGGGATATCAAAGATCACTCCATGAACCACAGCTTTGCTGGTCTGACTCTCAACCACTAAAAGAAAGACATGCAAACAAATAAGGGGCTACAGTTTTATGAAATCTGTGAACATATAAATCTATGAAATGTGTTTTTTTTTAAATCAAGATCATTTTCAATCACATTTGCACTAATGACAAAACTGGCAAAGCCTCTAAAGCTGGAGATCAGAGAACTCATCTGAACTACAACGCCAACTTTTTAGTGGAGCGGAGACTCAAAAATAAAACAGGTGAAATTCATTACCACTGCTGAATGTCACATTCACAGAATAGCTCTGTCCTTTGTGAAGCTGGCATGGCTGATTTGGGCAGGGCTGAATGTCAACCTCGACCACTTTTCCAGAAACTGAGCCTGTTGTGAGGAAAAAAAAACTTACATGCATGAAAAGCTCTGAACAGTACAGATGCAGACACAAGAGTGTGTGAGGTAACAGATATAGAACAATGATGTCTTCATACACCAAACTTGAACTTCCATTCCTATGTAGCTACTTTAGCCTCATAACTTCAGTGCAAAACTAAAGAAGAACTTCAGATACAAAATGTGTTTTACTCGATCAGCTACACTTGGGTTAAGGTGAAATTATGTGATTTATTTTTTGGTAAATCTTTCCTTTAACATGCATGAGAACTGTAGACTGTAGTATAGACAGGTTCATTATAAGAATACTGTAGTTACTTGTTAGAACCAAACTTTCCAAACTAAGCAAAAACTAAGACACATTGAGCTGTTGGTTGTCCACTGATTAATTCTTAAAAAAATTACCACTAAAAATAAGAAATTTAGTGCAAAATTAATCTGGAAAATCCCTCCTTACTGTGCTATGCTGTGAATGTAACATCTAGATGCAAGAAAGCGGTTCACTCACCACAGTCAGTAAATGCCACCTGCTCTGCCTGAGTGAACACAAGCAAAGGAAGCAAGAGGGTGCAGATGAAGCGGGAATCCATCTCTCAGATGAGTGTGTTCAATATCTGCTCAGACAAATAAAAATAAAACCCTCTAGTTAAAGTTAAAGCAGATCACAGGCACTTTCCTCTGGAAAACAGCCTCACAAATGATCTCCAACCAAGTTGTATGGCCTGAAAACCACAGTCTCTTTCGGTTACACGACTGTATTCCAACATGTCAACCGCCCTGACTGATTAAACCTGCTTCGTAAACTTTGGTGAGTTTCACTCCCTCACTAACAGGTTTCTCATTTCGCCAAAACAACGAAAACCATAATTATAATGACAAATGGACTAAAGCTGAAGCCCTGTCTGTTATTTATGTCTCAGTCATCTTATTTAAAAGGTAAAAAAATCTATGAAAACACAAAAAGAATATTAAAACGCACCACCACGTCCCTTCCAATCTTGCTGCTCACTCCTCACTTCATTAACACAAGACTGAACCCTGTCTTCTACTTTTGATGGCAGCAGAGAACCTGTAAAGATAAACCAGCTCTGATGACAAGCTCAAGTCTTGTGATGCAATCATGAGACCGTTTCTGGCTCATAGCAGAAAACTCAAAGGCGGTGGCGCATAGGACCCCTAGCCTAATCAAATATATATCTAGCAAATCAAATATGCATTACATATACCTTATAATTAAACACTAATACGGCAACACCTAATGCATATTTGCCCTGCTGCCCTACAGCACATTACACACTCAAGGCCGACAGCTCAGGGAGAGTTCGGAATCATCAAGTTTCTCAAGATGCTGAATGCTGTGGGCTGGTTTTCTGAAATAAACCTAAATGCTTAAACATCAACAGATCTAAAAAACGTAGTAAAACCATGGGTAACGCTACAGCCAGAAGAGCCTGGGTTCGATTCCCTGGCTGGGTGACCAGGGTTCTTTTTGTGTGGAGTTTGCATGTTCTCCCTGTGTCTGTGTGAGTTTCCTCTCACAGGAAATCATCACAAGTTTCCTCTCAAATTGGAGGCCCCAGGTCAATGTCTATGTCTGTGTGTCTGCACTGTGATGGGTGTTTCTTGCCTTCTGTCCAGTGAGCGCTGGGATTGGCTCCAGCACCCCCTGCGACCCAGGAGGATAAGTGGCTTAGTGTGTGTTGTCAGCTATTAACATAGAGATATTAGTACTGGCTGTGGTAGATGGGTGGTTTTCTTCTTTATGAGAGATGTGTCTGTAGTTGTTTTCTGTGCCAGGTTGTGGCATCCTGAATGGCACCCAGCCTTGATGATTCAGAGAAATCTAACAGCATGTTTATGCAAAGAGTTGCTATGCTCAATTGAGATCTTCCTTATAATTTTAGAGGAATTACTGAAAATACAAGTGAACAATACTTGAATTATCAAAATAATTTGAACACCTGATTTTTTAAGAAATAGTTACAGCTTTATATACTGCAAAAACTTTAATGAGCACTAGCTCAATGAGGGCTGCCCACAATGGGTCAGCGTGTTTAGTCACATTTGGTCCTCATTCGTTCACTGTGGGAATATTTGCTGCAACAACAAAAAAAGTGGGGAATGTGTTCTATTTAAGACCTGCTGCTTGTGTACTACATAGATGCACACGATATATTTAATAATCTTTATTTATAGAGTACTTTTTACACCAGTGGCAGCTCAAAGTGCTTAACAGACAGGTGATAAAGCTTAACAGTCATAGAAGAAACTATGAGTACTCATTTAAAAACATATAGGGCAATGACAATCAAATTAAAAACAAATACCAAAGAAATGTATGATTTTAATTAAATGCTAAGTTAAAGAGATACATTTTCAAACATTTCTTAAACGTGTGAAATGAGCTTGACTGTCTAATAAAAGGTGGAATTGAGTTCCACAGTTTATAAGCATAAAAACTGAAAGAGGCCTGTCTGACCATCAGAAGGAATGCAAATATATAATTGTGTCATCAGCATAGCTATGATATTATGTTTCCTAATGACATCACACAAGTAGGCACACAGGTAGCATGTTCAAAGAGAAAAGCAAAGGCCCCAAAAACTGAACTTTGTAGGACTTCACAAGAAATGTTAAACAAGGCTCAGAGATGTCAGCAATTCCACATGATGACACACATATAATAATTTTAGAATTTGATATGAAATGTGTAGCACCCACACCCCCCACCCCAAACCCCCAATGCAGTTCAGAAGAGTAAGTTTTTTACTGTAAACTCCTCTCAAGGTACCCAAGGACACTGTACAAAGAAACTGAGGGACAACATATAAGTTTAGCAACAGCTTGCTTTTTTATATATAACTAAATATGCCGCTCACCCACACTCACCCACACCCACACACCACTGCAGACATTCTGCGGAATGATGACTGCTGAAGATGAACACTCCCACATTTGCCGGCATGAGCCGGAAGTGTACCGCTGAACTACCCCCGGAGGAGGTTAGTAGCTAACAAAATTATTAATAAATGCGTACCAGACATTTTAAACAGTGTCATATAGTAAGCGATCCTTTATTTAAGTTTTAATATGCTACTGTTTTGCAGTTTCTTAGCAAAGTTTTTGTGATTCTTAGCAAACGTTAGCTTGCTGGCTTCCCATACAACTCTGTACCGTGTAGTTCAGACGAAGCTGAAGGTGTCTTAATAGGATTATCCGTGCCACCTTAAATAGGACAGACTAACTGGCTCACCATTTAAGGTGGAACGGAAAATTCAAATAAGAACCCAAGTCAGCTTAGCATCTAGCTAACTAACCAGCTCTCATGAAATATAGCTAGCGTTAGCTAGCGAGCTCTTTGGTGCGTAAGATATTAACCTGGCTTTCGTTGTCTCCATAAACGTCGCTTGTACAGATTTAATCCGCTGTTTTAATTTATTCAGTTCTGTGTGTTTCTGTTGACGCGCTATCTGCACTCGTTAAAGCTGTCTGTGCTAACGTTGGCTAGCGTAAGTTAGCGGGCTAGCATACTTGATTACGTCAGATTTGTCTCGACGCTGCGACTCCGCTTCCACCCATCCTTTACCGAATAAACACTCGATTAATAGCCCAGCACTGTGTTTAGGGGATGGAAGTGGACTGCCAGCCAGAGGAACTGTCTAAATCCCCGTACGAAGACCGCTGTGCCGATCTTGGAGGCGTCAAAGACATGAGGCTGGAGGCTGAAGCAGTGGTCAACGATGTGCTTTTTGCTGTGACTGACATGCATGTGTCTCAAACTCTCACAAACGCCTTGGACGTGGCTTATATAAACGTGGAAACTAGAGAAGGGAACCGCTACTGCTTGGAGCTTACCGAGGCGGGGCTAAGGGTGAGTGTGGGTAGATGACTGTCATCTTTATGTTGTCTCCTGTGCTGTGTGTTTCTACTGAAACTTAACGCCGCGGTCCGTCTTGTGTTCCAGGTGGTGGGCTACGCCTTTGATCAGGTCGATGAGAGTCTTGGCTCCCAGTATCATGAGACTGTTTACTCGCTGCTTGACTCCCTCAGCCCTGGATACAGAGACGCATTTGGAAATGCGCTGCTACAGCGACTCGAGCGGCTCAAACAAAACGGACAGTGAAGAATCCAGAATCCAGCACCAAAGCAGGAGTTTGGTTATTTCAAAACAGCTTTGCTAGCTAATTGTTATGCTGCAGTTACGTGAACAGTCAGCTTAAAGCATCAGTGGTATCCTTTCCTATCAGTAAGACCTTATTGCCTGATTTTACCGTTTTAACAAAACTTATCGGTCAAGTGCTAGAGTTAGTTAAGTTACATACACGGCTACTTGGCAATGCTTTTATTGTGTTTTAGGGCAGTGACACAGTGAGGGCGCTGTAACTTCAAGACTAACGTGTTGATTGTAACGCAACATAGCTCCCTGCTGTTATTCAAAATACTGAAAAGGAACAGGACAGAAAATACCGTTGCTGATGCACAGGACCCCTGAAAAGTCAGTATTTGCTAATCGCTTCGTCAGATGAAAAAAAGAAAATAAAATAGGCCTAAATGTTGTTTTACAAAAGGGCATTTCACTATTTTTGACTAAACTGGACCTGGAAAAGCTGCTTACTTTTTGGTAACCGACTGGTCTGCGACGTAGAGGCCCTCTAAAATCTCTTTGGGATGGACTTTTATTTTGGAAAAAAGAGGCAACGCACATCGTTTACTTACCTCAGTTTATCGTTTTCAAGACTACTTGATACCACAGAAATGCGTTTGCTGATTTGCTTTACTTCCTTTACTTTTTCCACTTTTATCAGAGACATTTTGTTTGTTTTTATTTTACCTGAATGACAGTTTTAAACTGCACAAAATCTCAAGTATTTTGTGATTTTCATCCAAAACAGAAGATTAATTATTAACCATAACTACAGTAGGCTGGAGTTAAAATGTTTGAATTTTACTGAATTATTGTAGTACTTCAGTACAACAATATCTTATTTGCGGTCTTGTTTTTTTTATTACTGTTGCATCAGCCACTTCAAATCGGATTACATTTCAGGCTTTCCTTAGTTAAAGAATATATTTTTAAAATATCTGTTTATTGTTTTAGGGGCACTGGATTTTGAACTGCACACTGACCTTTACCCCAGATCATGTGCTCTCTGTTGCACAAAACCACACTTAAGGAAAGAGAGTAGCCATTATCTGTGATGTTTGAAAGGGCTACTAAAACATATAAAAGGTTACATTCCATAGGTTTTTTTCATTGTTTGGATTTTCGATAAAGGAGAGAGAAATGCGAGCTTTGATATAAATACATAAACATGAAAGTGTTTACTTCATGTTTTATGAGCCTGTTGAAATTCAACCTACATTTGTAATTTTTGTATACAGCGTTTGAGGCAGATGATAATGTGCTGCTTTGTCAGAATAAGGCCAGTCACCAGACTCGCTCTCATCATCTGTGCAAATTCTTGTGAAACCAAATAAATCCATCTTGAACATGCCTCTAATTATTTTAGGGAGTTTGTTCAGAAACCTCAGACAAAAGTAATGATAATGTGTGTTTAAGAGACGACGGACTGATATGTTATGCTGCCTCTTGAATGGCTGCTTACCTGTGTTTCCGTTCAATAAAAGCACACATAATGAATTGCTTCTTTTGTTGCATACTGAATTCATTTAAGTTGCAAGAATTGTATCTAAAGTACAACACAATGCTGTGTCAAAAAACAATACATGCCTCATGCTTGTACTCTCCAATTGGCCAAAGGTGACCATTTACCTCTAATCACCACATTTACAAAGTACTTAAGATGACAGCATAGAGCTACACAATGATTTTATTGATGTGTCAAGAATTAAATCTTAATCCTTTTATTTGATGGTATGCATACAGTGTTCTTTGTGAGAGATTAACTGTGGCTCTTAAATATCTATTTACATTGGGCACATTTAAACTAAATTGTTAAGACTAGGATTCTAAATTGTTCTCAGTGTCAGTTTATGAAACTACATTTTCTCTATTCATACTTAATTTTACCAGGTTATGCACTCGTCTGTTAACCTGGGACTTTTTCCTCTTGCAATATCCTCAGTTGATCTCATTTAACCATTGTTATAAGAAAATCAAAAGCATATGTAGTTCATCATAGGCATAATTTCTTGCCCAAAAATAAGTGTCTATGATCAAATACACTGTGCACTACAATGACCTAAGAATGTAAGTGTACCCCCAATGTACTTTACACAATTTTAAGCACAGGGGAAAAAATCTGTAATCTAAAATGTGTGCACACTGATGGAATTACTAGAGACATTAATACACCTTGGACTTTCACCCTTACCAGAGCTCAAGAGAAAACAAATTCGTTTAAACAGACTCAGTTAACCCACATGACATTATGCTTACTTAAAAGTTCTTTATTTCAGACAGACAAGCATTATTCCAAGTACAACGCTTAATATATATTTTTTAATATGTTTTAAAATCAAATGTAAATCTTAACTCAGTGTGTTCTTAAAAAAATTACTTTTGGTTAGAAAATTTAGACTACCACTGTTTAGCCACACAGCAGCCAAGAAATAGTGGAAAATATTGTACAAGAATGTTATAATTAACACTGAACACAACATTATTCAAAGTATCTCACTCAGATGATCACTGATACCCCTTTTCATAAGACTATCCGAAATAATGTTTACAGTAAATTAGAGAAAATGTCTCATCAAAATTTAAAATGAGAGTCATTAATAATAAGAAAACAAACAAAATTATAAAACATGTATCTAAATCAATATCCTAAAAAGGTGAGTGCATAGAAAAATGCAAGAAGAATCTGTTATTGTAAGTAACGATTTCCCTTTTGAAGCAGCTCTTTTGGCATCCATGTCAGCAGAGTCGACCCTCAGCTCACGATCTGGACGGGAAACTTGATGCAAAACAAATCTTTGCTGGAGTCGTCTCTCAGTTCCCACTCCACAACCAGTTTTATCTTTGGAGAAAAGGGAAGGAGACAAGGAAGTTACTGCACCATCACATGACAACAGATGTGTTCAGCGCTAATAGTTATGACGGGTTCACAATGGAAAATGAACTAACTAAATAAATAAACAAACAGACAGATTGACAAATGTTCTCAGTTTGTCAATCTAAAATACTTACTGAGGGGTATTCTGCCTTGACGGGAAGCCCATTGACATAACTGTAAACTTTCTGCTTCTGAATGGGGCACTGGATTCCAGACTTGCAGCCATCATCAGTAGGGATGGGGAAAGGAACAGGGACACCAGCAATCACTCCATGAACCACAGCTTTGCTGGTCTGACTCTCAACCACTACAAGAGAGACATGCAAACAAATAAGGGGCTACAGTTTTATGAAATCTGTGAACATATAAATCTATGGAATGTGTATTTTTAAATCAAGATCATTTTCAATCACATTTGCACTAATGGTAAAACTGGCAAAGCCTCTAAAGCTGGAGATCAGAGAACTCATCTGAACTACAACGCCAACTTTTTAGTGGAGCAGAGAGCCAAAAAATAGAACAGGTGAAATTCATTACCACTGCTGAATGTCACATTCACAGAATAGCTCTGTCCTTTGTGAAGCTGGCATGGCTGATTTGGGCAGGGCTGAATGTCAACCTCGACCACCTTTCCAGAAACTGAGCCTGTTGTGAGGAAAAAAAATAACATGCTTTAAAAGCTCTGAACAGTACAGATGCCGACACAAGAGTGTGTGAGGTAACAGATATAGAACAATGATGTCTTCATACACAATTCTGTTGTATTTTAGCACAGAAACTTGAACTTGAAGAAACTGCCTAAAATCACCCAGTTTCCCTCTTATCCCAAACATCAGGTAAAACACAACTGGTGTCTGAACTTCACTTCTTGCTCTGAAATTTTGGGTGACAGGCTTCCATTCCTGTGTAGCTACATTAGCCTCATAACTTCAGTGCAAAACTACAGAAGCAAACATCAGACACCAAACTTGTCTTACTCGATCAGCTACACTTGGGTTAAGGTGAAATGTTGTGATTTGTTTTTCGGTAAATCTTTCCTTTATCATGCATGAGAACTGTAGTATAGACAGGTTCATTACAAGAATACTGTAGTTACTTGTTAAAACCAAACTTTCCAAACTAAGCAAAAACTAAGACACACTGGGCTGTTGGATATCCCTTTACTGATTAATTCTTTTTAAAAAGGCTTTTAGAAATGCTTTTTAAAGAATTTCCACTAAAAATGAGAAATTCAGTCCACAATTTATCTGGAAAATCATTCCTTTTTGTACCATGCCGAATGTAATACGTTGATGCGAAAAGGGAATAAAGGAAGTTGTTCACTCACCACAGTCAGCGAACTTCACCTGCTCTGCCTGTGTGAACGCAAGCAAAGAAAGCAAGAGGGCGCAGATGAAGCGGGAATCCATCTCTCAGGTGAGTGTGTTCAATACCTGCTGAACAAAAAAACTCTAGTTAAAGTTAAACCAGCCCACAAGGACTTTCCTCTGGAAACCAGCCTCACAACTAATCTCCGACCAAGTCGTAGGGCCTGAAAACCACAGTCTCTTTCGGTCACATGACTGTTTTCCCCCATGCCAGCCGCCCTGACTCATTAAATCTGCTTCATGAACTTTGGTGAGTTTCACTCCCTCATTAACAGGTTTCTCATTTCGCCCAAACACAGAAAACCAAATTGGAAGTACTTACAATAGCAGCTGGGCTAAAGCTAAAGCTCTGTTTTTTTCGTTTACGTCGTAATAATCATATCTGAAATGTAAAAATCTAGGAAAACACAAAAAGAATATTAAAACGCACCACTAAGTCCCTTCCAGTCCTGCTGCTCACTCCTCGCTTCCTTATCACAAGACCGAGCCCCGTCTTCTGCTTTTGATGACAGGCACACCAGTCTCGTGACGCATTCGTGAGACCGTTTCTAGCCAATAGCAGAGGACTGCGTCACAGGCGGTGACCAATAGCATCGCCCGCTTCTTGAAAATAAGCGAAAATAACCGTCAACGCCCCTATTTGTTGCCAGATACTCAAAAATACCTAATCAAATATGCATTACAAATACCCTATAATTTAAATATTAGAACAGTTGACAAATATATGATTTCAGAATATAGAGTTCAGAAATATCTGTGTGAGTAATTTTATTTTATTCATTATGAACACATGGTCAATTGTGGTTGAGGGAGATCTAAGGAAATCATAACATCCTGGCAACCGATTTCCAGTCTGTTGTGGAAGATGTCACTCGCTAGAGGAGTTCTGATCAGCGCGTCCAAAACAAAAGTATGGAAAGTTATAAAGTAAGTATTTACCTGAATGTCATTCTCTGGGTTGTCGGTGGGGTGAGACTGATGTTTTGTGCTGAGGCTTTGCGTTTTAAATAAATGTACTTAGTCACCCACCTGCGTCGTTGGCAGCATTAGCTTAGCGAAGCTGCAAGCTAGCTGGCTAACATCACCAGAACAAGAGTCAAGGGCAAGACTGCACCACTGCAGCGATATCTAAAGCTGCTCAGCGAGAATCAGACAGCTCGGATGATAACTAACCTGCGTGCACTGTAACAACAGGACGGTTTCGCTATTGGACACCTTAAACCTAAACGTAAACTGAGGCAGTTAGCTAAAAGTTGGGTAACTGTAGAGTTGTCTGTTAAATAGGCACATAAGACACTTTTAGCTACCTAGGGAAGTTCATCTTCAAAACAAATGCATACTGGCTATCCATCATTTATCATTACTTGCCTTTTATTACAAAGATTTACGTGTAATTTTGCAGCTTCTGTGAGGATAGATTAGCCACACGTTCAGTGCAGGTAACAGCTGCCTCAGTGGCCTCAGTGGCAGTCAGTACAATCACACACTGTCCGTCAGGCCCGTTAGTGTAGTTATTCTGTTTAACCCATAATTGTCCATATATAGGGTCTACTAAATTGTATGATTTGTTGGTCTATGCTGTCTTTATGCCTGTGGTTTTGTATTTTATTGTATTTTAATGTATTATTCGAAGTCATTAATTATTCATTAATTTAAATACATTTATATTACTTCTCCTTTAGTCTGTTTAAAACAGTTGATTATATTGTAGAGCACTTTGGTTGACACTTGTTTTTGAATGTGCTGTGTAATTAAAGCTAACTTGACGTAATCTCTGAAATGTAGTCTTCTTTAGTCTGTACGCTCTCTGAGATGGCCTGAGCACAAATCTAAATAAATATTTTAAATTTATTATGTTAAATGCATTTTTTGGTCACTTGCAATTGCTCATTTTTCATCACATGTGACTGCTGAATTTAATAACAAATATAAAATAATTCTGAATGCAAATAATAAAAATTACATGTAATAAAATAAGAAAAAAATCAAATTGGTACTGTTAGAAGTTCATTTAAGGTGTAACTATATAATAATTATTTTAGAAGTGCTGTGACATTTTCTCTTTATGTAAATTTAGTTGTTGGACGTTGGCCATTGTGATCATATGTATACTACATTGCATCCAGTTAACTCACAGATTCCACTTTTCTTTTAAAGTGCACCCTCCTCAGTGGTGCTTTGTGCATCCCGGCCTGTGGGGGTTACGCGGGTGTCTCAGATGCCCCCTCTGATCTCCACAATGCGGTATAACCACAGCCCAGTTCAGGAGCAAAAAACAGCAAATCCAGCAGAAGATAAAGTCTATCTCACTGAATCTTGTGTCAAGGTCGGTAAATTCTCATTAACTTTTATCCTTAGTAGCTTCAAAAAATGAGTTGTACATTTTTTGTTTTGTGGAGAACTCAATCAGGGATAAACAAATAAGACCATTTCCCTTTGTCCGCTATGATGTATAATTGCTGTGCAGAGGCTCACTGAGATCATGGATAAGGGCGAGTATCTGAGGATACATGTGGAAGGTGGAGGATGCTCTGGCTTCCAGTATAAGTTCTCAGTGGACACTGTCAAAAATGATGATGACAGGTAATGCAGACCGCACTCACTCTCACTGCGAGGCACCATTAGATGATAAGAATTTTCTAAGAGAATTCAGTGATACAGTACATTAATATTAAAAGAAGTAAAGGAAAGTTGTACTTGATAAATGCCAGTTAATTTCTTTAACTTTATAAATTTGTCAGCAGTATATTAGCATGGCACAGCTATTAGGACATACATCTACCGTACAGCAACTGAAGAAGCTTGTGGGTGTAGTACATAGTAAGCTAGTATTCACATTATTTTCCAGCAGAAGTCAGATGGGTTGATTTTTGTTTAATTTCACCATTTGCACCTAATTTTTAATCTGTGTCTGCTCTCTTGCAGAGTATTTGAACAGAACGGTGTTGGGGTGATAGTAGACCAGGACAGTCTGGAGTTTGTGAAGGGAGCCACGCTGGACTTCAGCCAGGAGCTCATCCGCTCTTCCTTCCAAGTTCTCAAGAACCCCCAGGCAGAACATGGCTGCTCTTGTGGCAGCTCTTTTTCTATAAAGGTCTGAGAGTTTCCCACTGTGTTAAGATCCACAATGCATTTACAGTGCTTCTCCTCGTCCCAGGACATGCATTTCACATTTTTGTGTCAGCAAAGAGCAGCTGACCAAGAGAATGATGAGTTTAACTAGAGGTGTAAGAGCAAGAAAACACATAAATTAGCAGTGCATGGAGTCACCAGGAACAGAGTTGAGAACCACTGATTTAAAACAACTTCACACAGCGTATTCCAAACAATAGATGACTGAGTGCTTATTTAAATTAAGCCACAGCTCTGTTATTGTCAGTTGTTGTTCCATGCTCAAGTGAATGATTGTGACATTTGTTGTGTAGTAATTCAGTATGCTTTATGATTACGGTATATTTAACATCGGAGGACAGCAGAACTTGTCAACAGCCGTAAGGTCATATGCAAAAGTTTGCGCAACCCTAGTCAAATAACATGTTTTGTGAGACTAAGTACACTTTCTCTACAGAGAACACATTTCTGCACATTGTAATGCACAATTACTGCTTAATTTTTAAATTTGACCTACTGGGGAAAAATAAAACATAAAATGGCTTGTGCAAAAGTTATGTCTCATTTAATATTTTATGTTTAGTAGAAAATGTGCACACAAAATGGCATGTAAGTGTGTTCTCTGTAGAGGAATTATTTTCACTTAGAAATTCCAATTAGTGTAATTTATTTTCTTGTAAACTGTACATAAAAATGTAAATAGGATGTTTAATTGTTTAATAATAAAATTATAGTGCAAGAAGAACATTGTGTCTCTGTTGCTCTTTATATTGTGCATGCATATTCTACTCATTTTAGATTATAAATAGCATAAATATCACCTCATTTTTTACTATATTGTATAGGGCAGTTCTGTCATTGTGTTGTTTACACCTACTTTTTTTATTATGTACCGCATGTAAGTTATGCTTCTAATGATGTCCTAGTGGTTCTGTTGGTGGGTGGATACTGTATAAATGGACTACATTACAGTGTGGGCTGCTTGCAGCACTTCAGACCCATCTGACACTGTAAATGATGTAACCATGGTTTGACTGAGTTGCTTGTGCGCTTGATTTGATAATAACTTCCCCCTCATCTCACACGGCAGCAGCAAGTGAGTAATGCAGGCGAAAAACGGCCGCTGAGCTGAACTGTTTTGAATCATCGCTTATAGTTTGAAGACACTGCAGAGAGCAGTTGAAGAATCATCTTTATCTGAGTTTGAACTGTTAAAAGTCCTCTCCACCTCTTTTCCACCCTCTACAATCATGAGTGAACTATCAACAAGCACCAGAGGAATGTGCAGTGTCATCTCTAAGACAATTCTTCTCGGAGCTTTGCTGTCACTGGAGTAGTTTGAGATCAAAATAGGGAATTGTTTGGCTTGTTGTGACTGCAGCTCATCAGAGAACTGATAAAGGTTTCTGGTTGGATTTGACTTACAAACAATGGTGTTTAAGGCTTTGCAATTGTTTACTTCCCTCTGAGCTGATCAAAATTGCAAAAGAGCAATTAATATGTCTATAATATGTCTAATATGTTAATATATATGTATATAATTACATTAAGGTAGCTTCTGTTGGTAATCACACTCATTTTTTTACTCAGTGACAGCACTTTTCCATTTGGATTTCTAAGACTAATTTTCTCTTAAATGTACAATACTTTTTATTTGTATTATAAATGTATCTGTACTACATACAACACTGTGCAAAATAAGCCAATAAGTATGTTATTCATTTTTCAGGTTAAAAAAACAGAAAACATATATAACCACTCAATTACAATTACTTACCCTGTTTTAACCCTTTAACTCTTCCATTCGTAAAATCAATGGGTTACAGCTGTGTGCCCACAACAAAAGACATTCCTCAAAGTGTCACTGACGTCATGTTCCCCCTCAGAAAGACACTACTGTTCACACAAGCTACTCAAACTACTCCAACACACCTTAGCTGCCTTGCCTTGCACTTGCACAAGGAAAAATAACTGGAAAAACACAGCTGGAGTAAAAAATTCAAAACATCTAAAGAGAAAACGGGACTCCTAATAAATGTGCAAGACTTGTTGGACTACCAAAACCATCACTATAAGATAAACAGATAAACAGTGCTTAAAGCTTTCATCTTTGAGAGAGAGAAAATAAACAAGCCCCACTCTTGCTTCAGATCTGAAAAATCCACAGGTGTTTCTGTTCATCTTTCCACTGTGAGAAGCCAACCTGACACTATGTGCCTGAAAGGATGTGTAGCTGTCAAGAATCCAATACTGAGAAAAATGAAAATAGACAAAAAGATCCCTGAAGATTTCTTTGCAAAACTGAAAGCAAGTCTCCCGAAAAGAATGAAAGCTGTAATAATGGCTAAGTGGACATAGTAAATACTGAAAAAAATGCGATTTTATTTATTTGTTGAGGCTTCTGTGTAATGTTCTATTGAATATGTTTAGTGCTTTTTTTTCTGACACTGAGAAATGAATTACTTGTACTTAAAGGCCATTTTGACTTAAACTAAAAAAATTAAATGAAATCTCAATTAAATAATCGAGAATGACAACATTAATCAAGGATTCATAGGATTTATACACTCATTTTTTTAATCAAAGTTGGCCTTTAAGAAAACATTTGACAAAAATATACAAAAGAATGTCTTTACATTTGATATGTACATTGATATCATAAAATTAAAATATGCACTGAACACATCTCACGCTATTAATTAGTATGACAATAAATGAAATAGAAAACATCTTGCATGTTATTCTCAGTTTACTTTTATATTTCTGTTGGGCTGGAACATTCCAGTTGAAATAACATTAGATCTGTTAATGGAAGAAACAAAACTCCTAAATTATGATATGACTAAAAAAGGCTTTAGCAGCACAATAAATAGTGATTTTAAATGATGCATCAGTGCATCACAAAACATCCTTTTTTCCCCTCTTGTTTATTTTTAAGAGACTGAATAAGAACCATCTTTTCTTTTAAGGTTGTTCTCAGACACAAAATACATTGCATACGTTTCTTACCTACACACGCACTCGCACACAGAACTCACGGTTACTGCTCAAGCTAAAGATGCTACATATGAGGTTAGGAGTGCCACCTACTTCTGCAGAGGGGGTCTGAGGTTTGATGAGTGAATACCATTTTCAGGGCTGACATTAAAGACCACTGGAGAACCACAGTGAGCAGGTCAAGTATACAGTGCATAGAATGCTTTGGCATGCTGACATCCAAGAATATAACGCCCGTGTTACATTCAGGGAGAAGGCCACAGGAGTTCTGATCTTCAGTTGAAAAAAAATCAACAAACCACACAAGAAACACATGAAAATGTGGAAAACACAAAACATACAAAACAAAAAAACATATAAAAAGGGAATTTCATATTTAGAGGTCCAACCTTCCTCAGTGAAGAACACTCAATGGGTACTTTAAGGCTAATCTTATTCTGCTTGCTACACATTTGTCAGTCTTTTCGATTGGAAGAAAGTCTTACACACCTCAAGGAACACTGACACAGACATATTTTAACTTAAAAGACATTCCTTCTTCAAATTCAGGACAACTGTAAAAGTAGTTAAGAGGTGTATATGTATATTTTAACATCACATCTGAGTCTGTGGGCAAGAACCTTCTCTGAACATGTTTCCACAGAATCACTGAGAGTGACAAAAGAAAGTACAGTAGGTTTCAGGCATGGGTAATGACGGGCCTGGAGGCTCATTCAGATGCATGCACCTGGTGGTAGAAAAGTCAGGGTTTAACCCAGGTTAGCTCTTCCTATCTTCATGCAGCAGAGCCGTGCTGGGCTCCTCACTCTGGTCATGCTGGGACTGGTGTAAAAGCCCAGGCAGTCTGTGCTCCTCTGGGCCCTGCAGTGGCACTGAGGCGTGGACTGGAGGTGGGTGTGCTTCAGTGAGGAGCATGGACACACTTCCACACAAACAAGCTGTTTTGGAAAGAAAGATAAACTAAATAACGACCTTAAAACGCCCTGCCATTACGGTATTACAGCATCACAAGACAACAGGGTGTCTCAATAACAAACTAATGCATGCTTCAGCAACCTGGAGACAGCTGACTTCAGTGCTCAACTAGAATGTAGGCAAAATTAGCTGACATATTTATGAGTCAAAAATAAATCATCACTTCTCCCTTCACCTCACCCTACAACAAAGGGAGCTTCTGCGTTTTCTGTTTCCTCAAAGTTCACACCATCACAAGACTCTAATCTGTACTGGCCAAATATACAGAAGTGCAACTGGTTCTGGAGTAAAGAGGAACCAAGTAAAAGTGAAGTAAAAATTAGCAGTGTTGACAAGGTACCTTACACAGCTGCATAACATGGACTGAACAGCATATTGTGATTATACAGCTACATATTGAGATTTTGACATGCCTTAAAATATCACATTTGTGAACCCTTTAAGTGACAGAATTTAAGACTGGCCTTTGTAATAATGATTAACAAAGATATATGGTTTAGCCACAGTACCTTCTGTCATCGCCTCCAGCACTAATGACGAAGCGGTCCCCATTGGTGAAGCGAATGTTGGTCACATGGGCCGAGTGGCCCAGAAAGCGCTTGTGTTTGGCCTGAGGAAACATGGGAAGCTGTTGAGAAGGATCCAATTTACATTTATGTGCCATATGTATATAGAACCGTGGGTATAAAGTCTTCAGCATGTGAAATATTTTTCTTCTCAAAACAGTGATGTTTATAGAAAGGAGGATTTTTTTCACAAGTGAGCCTGTTGTTGAAGGTCTTGGACAGAGTGGAAATATTTCAAGAAGCAGATGTGGGTAACAAATATGCACAGAAATATAATTCTATTCCCATATTCTATTTTTTTTTTAAATGTAGAATTTACATTACATCTCACTGACATCTCCAACTTCAGATAAAACATTCATAATACATGCAAAAGCAGTAAACACTAAATCAGATTACAGCCAGTAGTAGTTATTCACTATGTGATCTCACTATTTACCTTTAAAGCCATATGAGTACTTCATCATTATATTAATATATGTATAATTCTAAGCTATTGCATTATAATACTGCATTTCCCTTTCCTTGAACATCCCTTGATGGGACAGTTTATCTTAAATATTCGTCCTGGCACTCTACAGACTGTCATTACTGCCTTACTGCAGCGATACAAATTAGGTGGCCTAGGATATCATGTCTAGTCGACCATGTCATTATGCTTTAAGGCTTTGTTATTGTGTACAGCTCATTACTGTGCAGTCAGACTCTATCCAGACAAGGAATTACAGTCATTCATTAAAGTTTATGTCTATTTCAGCCCAACAATAGCTTCCTTATTGTATATATATTTAAATGTTAAACACTTTTTCACAAAGTTAAAACTGGGTGTACTTACAAACTTTTCTGGACATGGAAAGTCGAACAGCTTTACCATTCCAAAGTCATCACCCGTGACAATGTTGAGGCCAGAATGGGAGACACAGGCACACGTTACATCGGCTTTATCTGTGTTGCGGGACCATATTCCCACAACCTCATCCCCCAGAACACTGCACACACAGACACAAAGCAATAAACAACAGTTACTACTGCAGAGAAATAGCTATTATCCATTTCAATTATCCTTGATGGTCACACATGGGTAAGATGTTATGAACTGAAATGGAATTGATAACCAGGTTGCCTGGAGTTCTAGAGATCTACTGTAACCACTGTAAATACTACAATTGATTTAAAATGTCATAAATGTCTCCACTGAATTGAAAAGCAAGATTAAATGAATTCCAAGACCAAGAATTCTAAGAGGATGAAAGAGGGATAGATGAGGCATGATGCAACTCTGTGTCTACTTTGTTCAACTAGCCTGCAGCTCAGCTCTTTGATCAACACTGTGAGGAGCTTGAATATTGTTTTAATATTGTTGAACAGTGTACAAGACGTCTGAATACTTGAAAACGTGTGTGGATACAGTCAATGGCTCTTGACTGAAATCAAGAGTGCTGCAGTTACCTTGTCCAGGTGGCCCAGGTGATTCTGTCTATGACCGCCTGCTCTGTGACTTGCTTTCCGGAAGGCACCTCATAAACTAGTCGTTTGTAAGCACCAGTGGACAACTACAGAGATAAATTCAGAAAGATGAATACTTACCAGAGATGCACAGTAATTTCAGAATTCAGTACTGGCAGATAAGTGTTTAAAAAATTGCTTTGGACAGATGTTTAGATATGAGTGATATTTCAAACTGCTATTGCATTTTATGATAAGTGATGATGTGTTAACAAACTGCAGAACAGCAGAATGTTTAGGTAATACTGGACTACTGTACTAAAATAGCTGCATTTTATTAATTGTACTGCATTTATAACCTTATAAAAATAAAACGTCTTTGTAAGGCTAATCTAGTCTCAATTTCTACAATTTATATTTGTTTATGTACAGGTATTGGAATTGGCAGATATGTTATAAGCAGGGTATATGGCATATCTGCACAATAATTAATTATGAGGCAGACACAGCACACACATGCTTCATACATACTGGGCATGTTAACTGTCAAAAACGCAAAGCAGAGCCATCTGCTGGACACATTAAACACAGACCTTTACCATAGTAGAAGCAGAACATGTAGTAAGTTAATTTACAAACACAAGCACAGGGCTGTACCTGTATGTAGCAGCTGTCAGCAGAGAAGTCCATCTGAATGACAAAGCTTGGGATATCTCTGCAGCAGTTAATGCGGTTCAGTTGCGGACCCAGCGTCAGGTCATAGAAATCCACAGCATTCTCGCTTGAGCCCACAGCAAGGTAACGTGAATCTGGACTGAACCTGTTGAGGAATGAGGGCAGTGAGTCAATTCACTTTTCAATTACAGTAAGAATGTTAACAAAATGACAAATGACTAATGTCAATGACAGATGACTGATAGTCACACTGATGACTTAGAACAGAATATGCATAATTATGGTTTAGTCTCCGATAAAGCAGACAATGTAACTTTGACAGGATGTGCACAGCACATTGGATGTCAATTAGAGGTGTTACTTGAGTTTAAGAGCATATCTGAGATTTTCTGTTGTTCCCTTTTATGTCTACTCAACTCTTGTCCATAACTACTACTTTGTTAAAAGAACTTGAAAGAACCTGATATCCTGAATGGCGGAGCGCCGATCTCTCTTCTTGCCCCAGATCTTGAGGGAAGTGACGAGGAGAATGATGAACTCTCCATTCTTCATGCCTATGGCCACCATGTCACCCTCAGGACTGTAGCTGACCGTGCGTGCAGGATGCCCCAGGTTCACCTTATTCAGCATCTTCTGTTTTTGGCATATGAAAGAGCATCACTTTATCATATATTACATACACCTTTAATAAACTGTCTGTATTTTTTTACTTTGTTCTGCTCTTCAGGACCTGATGAAATGCTCTCACAGATAAAAATTAATAATGCTAATAATAATAACATTGTAATAATCTTATATTACATGACTAGTGTTACAAACATGCTTTGTGTGTGTGTGGGTGTGCGTGTGTGTTTGTGTGTGTCTCACCCTCTCTGGAATATCCCAGAGCCGCACCGTGCCATCCTCTGCAGCAGACAGGAAGACATCTCGTGTAGGGTGAGCACTCAAACCCCAGATGGGGCCATCCATGTGGCCGTTTACTAAGATGTTACACGCTGCATTCTTCTCCCCCACCTCAATAATCTCAGCATTCCGCGTGCCCACCAAGATCTTACCCTGAACAAAGACAACAGAACAGCAAGTGACCAAACCATTAGCAACGTAAGAAAATCAGAGAGAAAGAAAATTTTTTTCATCCTTGTCCCAAAGCAAAAACTTGTAAAAGGTGCTTCAAAATGCAGTGTATGGACATTTGTTGGGATACTTAAACAATCCATGATGCATTGCTTTAGAAATAAGCTTTGAACTTTGTTGTATTTAACTCCTTAAGCAGGGCCTCCTCACAACCGATAGTCCGATTTTGACCTCGATTTGAGAAAAAAATTCACAATCTGAAGTGATTTTTCAGGTAGGGAGCTCAGGCCTTCCAATATTTTTATATTTGACTTTTTTACGACTCAAAACATTCCTACAGTGTGAGCTGGTCAGTGACATAACTGAGCGAGTGATTCAGGCAGTAGCCAACAAAAGAGCTAGAAGAGAGAAAAAGGTCCCAGTTTGTGTTTTCGCAAAGCACAAACAGGTCTAGTGCAGTTTAGCTGTTTGTATCACATGCTAACGGAGGAGTTTGGTGTGTTTTGAGTGTTCATTTGGTGTTTTGAGTACTTTTTAGAAATCAAAACTCCTTGTGTGTGATACCCTCTTTCTGCCTAATTGTCTCACGTTGTGCCCTCGTGACAAAAAAATATAAATTCTGTGATTTTCCTGAGTCATTCATTATAATTATATGATAATTAACCTTCAGATTGATACATGAGTAATAAGGCTACCGATGAATCTATGTTAAAAGGTGTAAAATCAAAGACTTGTTCTGGTCACTGTTAAGTACTATTTAGTATTCTTGACCTTCATGTGTTACATGTATGTGCAGGCCTACTTCTGTATGCTGTAAGTCAGTGTGACTGTTGTACCTTGCCTCTGCAGACAGAGCGCACACAGTCTATAATCTGGCCAGTCTCCAGTCTGAAAGCCCTGCAGCGCTTCAGCTCCTGATCCCACAGCTTTAGCGCACCGCCCTCCTTAGACCTGCAGGGTGCAGCACACACACAGCACAGCTCACAAACTACAGCACTGCACACACACAGCACAGCTCAGACACGACAGTGATGCATGCTAATAACAAGGGGTTCATCTAGTCTCTGAGTTAGAGAGGTTACAGTGAAAATCATTTTAGTGTAGGGCTATCTATGTCTGACTGGACCTCAACTGGACCTCACCTCGTCTACAGAAAACCTAAAAAGCACACAAGTTCAATTATATATTTATAACCTAATTATATATTTAGGTCCTAAAATCACAGTTATGACTTCTTTATCTGTCATTTCTATCATTAAAATCTTCATATGTTTAATGTTTAAAATTTCTTGACTGCTTTCTTAGTGTGAACCGGAATAGATGGGTCACTCACGGTCGCTCCTTTCCACCTGTGACAATGAGGCCGTCTCGCAGTGTGGTGTACATGGTGAAAACTGGACCAGTGTGTGCCTTAGCCACAATTCGCACTAGAATGTGTTCCTTCCATACACACACATCTCCACTAATGGTACCTGTAAATGTCAAGTTATTCTGAAAGGAAAACAAACCTGCACTAATCTAGTGACCTCTAAGAGAGAGAACAGCACAGCATAACAAAGCAAAGCTTTGTTTTACAGTTCATTTACTGGCAATATCTCACATATTTGTTTATACAGTACATGGCTACATTGGGACTCTCTCTAAAACATGGCAAACAGCAAGAGCAGTTTTAAAATATATACTTTATACTGAATACCTTTAATCTAGTCCTTACAGTAAATGTATACTGCCTCAAGTTAAAGACCAAATTTTTAGTGCAATGCTGTAATATGAAAATACACCATATAAAAAGAAAGTAATGGCCCATTTTTATGGATTGGGTATTGGCTATATTAAGCCTGTTCCAGTTCTATTCATTGTTATATTTTGTGCGCTCCATTTATATCACTGTCACTGTTATTAATTTTGTAAGTGAAAATAAATTAACATGCTCTACAGACAGCACACTTCTGCACATTTTAATACATAGTTACTGTTTATTTGCTGAATTTAACATACTGGAAAGAAATAAAACATAAAATGTTGCCTGTGCTAAAGTTATACTGCATGTTTTTTTTCCAATATATTAAACTCAGCAAATAAACAGAAATTGCACCCTAAAATTTGCAGATAAATGCCATATTCAAGTTTGCTCTCCGTAGAAGATGTTCTCACATTCTCACATAGAAAATCAACAAAATGTGTAATTTGATTTGATTTGAACTAATGTAGACTCAGTATCTGCTGATACTCATTACTAAAAGACATGGATCGGAAAAGAATCAGCCTCTTTCTTTCACTAGCGTCAAACAACTCAGCACTGTGAAGGCTGTGTAATATCTGTGTGTTTAAATATAAAGAGATATACTTACAGCTCCAAATGCCACAGAGAGCATGGTTTGCATGCGGGCATCCTCAATGGAACTAAGAACTCCTTTCTTGCTGAGTAGAGCCCTGCCTGCCAGCGTCCAAAAGCGTACATGCTTTATCCCCACTGACACAAACTGAGTGTCTGAGTCTGGCCGGAACTCGGCCACAAAGATCCGCTGTGTGTGGCCACAGCGACTGGCTACTTTGGCACCTTGGGAATAATAATGAACAGGTGCTGTTGTAAGTCAATGTCTCTAATGAATGTCTGCATAAAATTGGAGAGAGTGGGGAGCAGGCAAGAGTTTAGCAGTGCTGTACCTTCCTGCCACTTCCAGATGGTGATGGTGTGCTCAGGGTCCAGCCCCACAGACAGGAGCAGCTTGCCAGTGGCACTGAAGCTGACCGAGCAGATTCCCCGGGAGTGGTAGCAGCGCAGCACGGACAGAGTCTGCTTGTTCATGGCATCCCACACATGAATGGATGGGGACGTGGCTGCCAAGTAGATAGAGAACTAGGCTCAATATTTAATATTTAATATAGAATTTATGAAACAAATAGGTTAGACTTCAAACAAATATAATTCATTCAGGTGTTAATATATTACAACTGCTGCTACTAATATCATCATATTGATATCCTATTAATTGTATAATTACAGAAAAAGCTAAAATTTCATTTGACTTACTGGGCCATTGTGAGAAACTCTAAGCAAATCAGCAAGTTTGTGTGGAGTGTGTAAAACTGCATGTGACTTTAAAGCCAGTAGAGGGCAGTGTTCTAGAGGAAACTTGAGCCAAGCCCATCCTGGCACAAACATTAACGCTCAGATCTCTACAACATGAATTAGCTGCATTCCAAACCAAATACATTAGTAATGGGACCAGACAATGATATTTCCTTTTCCACCTTTAAAACACCTTTAAATCTGTTGGTGGTAACAAAAAAGAAATAGCTCTAATTAGTATTTCTCAACTCTGGTCTTTGTCTCGAGACCCGTCTCAAGATCATAAAATAGCACTTAGTCGTCTCAGTCTCCGCGTAAGGTGGATTCAGAACTGGAAACTTTTTTTCTATTATTATCGAATATCAACAATACCTTTAAATACAGTAAGACAGTCCTTTCTCTACATGTTTAAATAAAATTTGTTTGCTGCCCGTTGAAGATCTAATTGATCTTTTCCATGATGACCTAACTGGGTGTCAATTGTTTGTTGATTTTCCTTGGTTCCAAAATTCACACATCCCCTGTGGGTAGATCAGAAAGTTATTATTACTACGTTTTTATTTACTAACAAAAATGGATGTTGGTTCTTTGGTTCATATTCAGTGGACTTGAGATGGGGATTCTGAATAAGATGAAGAAACTGAGTACAACCTCACCATCATTTGCTTCCAAACATTACATTGCAAGTTAGGACTAAAGGCCCTGCAAAGTTCTTAAAATCTGTGAAAAATAAATATTTCAGCAAACAATTTTATATAGTTACCTTCTATTTTTTTCCCCAATAACAACATTAAAAAGAGTGCTTTGTATTTTCTTTTTTCACTGTCGCCTTTTACAATTCTACTGTGGGCCACGCCCCCAAAGCGGATTAATTGAAAGCCTCTGCGTCAGACGTAACCTATTTCAACTTTTGCTGCAGCGGATTCTGATGCTGACAAACAGCAATCGGACCATATACAGTACCACTGAGAAGCAGCTACATGCCTGCGATTTTCAGGTCAAAGGCCAGGTTCTTGTTCAGAATCTCCCTCTTCAGGTTCTTGCAAGTAAGGCCACATTGATGTGAACTGATTTCCATCCTGTGCAATACTGAGGTGCCTACACCTTAGATTTCTGTTTGTTAGCAAGCTAACAGAAGGTTCTGCATTTCAACTACACTCACACTAATTCACCAGCTTCTTGTTTGAATTTTCCTGCTCCAACGTAAGTGGTGCAGCAGGCATTATAATAACTACTGCACCATTTGAGAAGGGACAGGGAAATTCAAACAAGAAGCTGGCGAATAGGACACCAACTGCAGCCTGATATTGTTAACTGTAAATTTGTAACTCCAAAATGATTTGAATACGAACTGGATGAACACTATACTGGCATGCTAGCTCCCTTTTGGGGCAGGGTGCAGGTGCCCTACAGACAACAGGAGAAAGGCTGTTAGGGGTCTTGGTTAACAACGGAATCTGCGCTTTTAAAATGTTTGCTACAAACCCTTGTACTGGGTGTCACTTCATTCCCATAAAGAAATCTGAGCCATTATGATTTGGTCTGGTTATTTGGAATAGAAAGTACAGAGTGACCACTCTACCTCCTGCATCCAAAAACTGATCATTTGTAAATAAGTGCCACCTCTTAGTAGCTATAACTTTACTCCAGTAGAGCAATGCAGAGCGTTTTAAGTGTGGGAGGGTCAGTTAATGTCACAGTTCATAAATATGCAATACAGGGTAGCTAAAAGCCTCTGCTGTTGCAGTAGCAAACTAACACTGCACCTGTAGTAGCAGCAACTACTGGAACACTTTAAGAAAAAAAGACAAGACTTCTTACCTGACATATCACCAGCATCACCTGTGCAAAATTAAAAAGAAGTATGCCTGATTTAAAACTTACTGGAAAATCTGAGCAGTTTCTTATATTTTACAAATTTGTTTAATAGTGTATAACATAATGCTGCTACAACAACAGGCACGTTGGACTGTTCATACAAAAACTGACATCAACAAAAACAAACTTTAAAAATGAAAAATGCAAACAACGAAAAATCCACCATTGGGACTTGGGACTGCCAGTAGTTGCAGAAACACCCAGTTACCAACATCATTTTGAAAATCATTGAAATAATTTTAAAACATAAGCAGAGGCTAAGTTGGCAATATTAAAACAATACCAATGTTTACACTTCAGAAACATAATGCATTTACATTTCAGAAGCTTAAAAAATTTAGGGCAATTTTTTCCTCGTATTCAACAAAATGAGAAGCAGCTGTGACAAAATGTTAGGCTAATGATAAAGAAGGGATATAGAGGGCAGCCCACTTCTCACAAACATACCTACTTGGCCAGTCGCCACCACGTTGGGGAACTTGGGGTGTTGATTGATGGTGAGGCACAGAATGTCATCACTGTGTTCTACATAGAAACTCTGGCATGCTGGATGGAAACACAGCGCACTCAACATAAAATAGCCCTGGTAGAACCATTTTCAGGATCTTCACCTCAACATTATATGGGACCTCTTTTAGGAATGGAGCAGTTGTACCTGTTGTTAAGTTGAGGACGACCCCGACTGAAGCTGTGTGATAGATAATATCCGCCCCCTCATTCAGGTAATGCACATTGTTGCGGCAGTCGTTGCCCCGGTAACCAAACACAAGCTCTAGCACCAGGTCCTGCGGGAGAGTCAAAGAGGGGTTAGGGTCAGGGGTCATCTCCATGGCAACAGCAAAGAGGTTAAAGGACTCTGCTTTCAGGATGAGAAAGGACAGGCAGGGAGAAACCGTGCTGCAATTAAATTAAGCGAGGTTAACAAGATGAGCAAAGCTAATAGGTCTCCCCTGGGCTCTGTGTGTCTGGAGTCCACCATCAAACAGGCCTCTGACTCAGCGACTAGATCAGATATGCACTGAATAAGCAGGAAGAACTTTATATTATGCATGCAAATATTTTAAATATTGTTGATGAACAGACTACCACATTGTCCACATTGAGCATAAGAAAGTAACATTAATTTTCAACATTAGTTTTGTTCTACAGATGAACTACACACACATTAGAAACAATGTACAACTGTTGAACATTAGATATGACTTACCTCAATAGGCCTCTTCTTTTTGCCCACATTGTTGGTTTGTAGTTTTTCTGGTACCGGTAAAGCCCTGCTCACTGGGGGTCTATGTCCAAATTAAGCACAAAACAAGCACACAGGGTAAGTTGAAGACTAGCTGGTCTCTGAAAGGAAAGTAAATCGATCAAATGGAAAACGATATGTTCTGTATATCATTTTGTATATTATAGTAGGGTATTAAATATCCAAGATTGGAAGAATTCACAACTGTCATAAAAGAAATGCATAGAAATGCAAACTAAGCTTACCTTGAGCCCCTTTATGGAAGCATTGACAAAAAAAGAGAGAACGTTAGAACCACTGTCTCTCATTTAGCGGTCAGCCAAGTGCACCAGATCGTAATGCCACAACATAGGGACACTGAGAACACAAATACACAATAGAAAGCTGGAGCAGCTATGAACTCTATTTTCTCAGCACCAACCATGATTATGTAAAGTCGATAGTATGTGGCCTGAAACAGCTCACAATGGGTCACAGCTGGCAATGCAAGAGGCTAGCATACTCTGAAAAAGGTGATTATTTATTTATACTTCAAATAAAGATATGGAGGATGTAAAGCACTTGTGCTTAGGTCCACAACACCCAAAATTCTTGCTGGCATGATCAGAAGCTCAATGACTTTAAAGCAATGAGGGAAGGGCAGCCAGCCAAGCACTTACTGTAATGCAGTGCCATCTATTCTAATGTGGAATTGCAATCGCCTGCTGTCAAAGCATCTACAGGAAGTGTTCCATATAGAAACATCAGCTAAATGCTAAGTTGCACTTATTCGTTTGATGAAGGGAATGGCAAAAGGTGAGCTGAATGGAACTGATGACCGTTGTAGTAATGTGTGGGGGATATTAACACGATTTAAGTGAGAGCAGTTCTTTTCTCAATGAATACTTATCCTTACCTGACTACCCCCTGCCTTCACGTGGTGACAAAGAAGAGTGCAGGGTTCAGATAGACATAGGAGTGAGGAAGAGAGGAAAAGAAAGACACCAGGGTGCCATATTACTCAAAGCCAAAGTGCTCCATGGACTGATGCACTGCTCTGAGCAATAATGTGATGTTTCATGTTTCTGCAGGTAAAAATTAACCTTCTGCTGGATGAAGACGATCAAAGGTTTGACAATTTTTGGGATGTACCCTCAATTTCCATGCAGAAAAAAGGCTTCCCATTTTGGGAAAAGAAGCTTTTTTAATTACTCATTTAATCATAAAATCACAGAGATGTAAGCTAAATCAGGTGTAATTTAGCTCTCAGTCAAGACTCTGTTGGTAACTTGACAGTAGTGGTGCACGACAGATTTATTAGGTTGTGCAGCGAAATCTCTGCTAAGTAAACAACCTATAAAACAAAGTAAATGCTTGAGGCTTTGCACTTTAATAGTTAATTCAAATCTGGCAGAATGTATGTGTGTGAAGCTTTCCTAGTTGCATCTTGATACAACACAGGGTTTGACATTAAGTAAAACAACACCTCCCTCTCTGTAAACACACAAGTAGTTATACTTCAGGAATGGGTTCTGACTGAACAGTTAATTTATGGTAAAGTTTATTTAAGATACACAATAGCATAGGTTATTGACTAAATCAGTAGTCAGTTAAAATTCTTCAAATTATATTCTTATCTCTATACCAATACTCTTACATTTCATTATAATTATTTAAAACAACTACACAAAAAGGGGGAAATCTGATTGCTATATAAGACAGAGAAGACCCTACATGGACCTTTCACCTTACATTTCAAATAGTAGTGTTAAGTAACCATACTTGCATTAGGGAGTACAAGTGAAAAATGCCTCTCCTAACATACCTTTCATCTACTGATGGCTCTTTCTGTTGTAAGTGGGGCTTGACCCCTATCATTGTTCGCATGTTGGTGGATAAGGCCTTGATCACATAGTTGATCTCATTCTCTCGAGTCACATCGCTATCATACCCTGCAAGAAGCAAAAGGACGGAGCACAAGTTGTCATGAGAAGATAATTCGTTTTAAATGCCTAAAACATCTCCTTTGAGCTCAGAGAACATTCTACTAGTATGAAGTATGAACCACTTTCTCCTAAAACCTGGCAAGTGTAGAACGTCAGTCTGGGTTTTCACTGGGCAAGTATTTTTAGAATAACTTTCAAGATTATTAAAAAAAGAGACAGGATATCATTAATATTTCTACATTAAAGATCATATATTGTCATGTAATGTATTTTAATGTGTTCCTCTCACCCCCATCATCTTCACTCTGAATGTCAGACTCCTCGCTGTCACACTGACGCACCTCCCGGCAGCCCTCAGCCTCATGGCTCCAGATCATCAGAGAAGTGTCAGCTCCACCCACTGACACCAGTAGAGAGTCATCGTGCGTCCAGCGCACATTGGTCACATGGGTACTATGGGCCACATAGCGCTTGAACTTAGCATACTTTCCCTGATCAAAGAAAGATGATGGTAAAATACATTCAACACAGTGATATAACAATTCAGGCAAAGATTTGTAATTCATAGGAGACAATTTGCAGAAACAAGCATTCAAAAACAATTGACATTTCATGGGTTAGACATTAGAAATGGCATCTTCATAACCATCATTAACACTGACATCATAAAAAACACTGACATACCCTGAACTGGACTGAAATCAGATTTCTTCGGAACATAGACAGAACTGTAGCAGAATATTAATGAGCATGCTTCTTTCTTACCTTAACAGGATATCTGAAGAGCTTGACATATCCAAGGTCATCTCCTGTTGCCAGCACTTGCCTGTCGTTGCTAAGACACGCAGCTGTTACCTCGGTAACCTCACTAACCACCGGCCAGATGCCCTCACAGGAGCTTCCCAGCACACACGTCCATGTGCTCCAATCAATCTTCTCCACCTGGGCATGGACATATAACATAGATTAGACCTAAAGGGTTCCAAACACAATCACAAGTTGCTACATAACAGCTAGTGTACTAGTGATCTTAAGCATGGCCCAGTTCCTTGTCTCCAAATTTAGACCCATGCAAAAATGAAAAGTGGGCCATGTTCTTGCCCTTATGTGTGCCCTTCCTTCTGTTGGGCCCAGAATCAGGACAACGCAACAGTAACCACAGCAATGCCACGGCAACACCCTGAGCGACCCTTACCTCTGTGGCAGGGATGGTTTGTTTCTTCCCACGAGGAGCCTCGAAAAATAGCTGCTCCTTAGCTGCAGTGTTGACCTGCAAAAGCTTCCCTGATGACAAAATGTATAACTATGACAAATACTTATAACACAATTTAACAGAGGTGTAGTATCTATTAAAACAATCAAAGAAAGACAACAAAAAAGTATGACCTAAATAGTATTGCAATCTAAGTGTGTGTAATTCATGGCATTCATTATAATAAAAACTTGTAATTGTAACTTTTAATTATATGTGATGATTTTTCTGCTTACAGTTACTTGAGTTTCCTTTTTTTTTCTTAGACTATTTTATCCTTTATGTTAATAGCTTATAATTCTCTCTCACCTCTTTTGTCCCAATCCAGATGGGTGATGTAATTCATGGAGCCTTTGCATACACCCACCCTCTTGCTGCTCATCACATTGTAGATATCCACAAAGCTGTCACCTGATGCCACTGCTAAATACTTCCCAGCACCTGCGGCAAGAGGACCCATTTACCAGCTCTTTAAACTGCACTTAAAAGTTATTCTCATCAATATGCTAATTTATTCCAACAAATATCTTAAGCTAATTACATTAGCATATAACATGTGAAAGCCCAAAAATAACTAACAGTATCACATCAAATATGTTTCAGCTAATTAATTCATGCTACACGTTCTTATGCTCAACACAACAGTTATTCTGAAAAGGCATGATCATGTTTCTTTGCAGTCTTGAGCTGATTTTACATAAAACTTTTTTCACTTTTTAATGCCTTCCAGTGTGACCGGGCTGGAAGGCCTCAGAATTCAAATTTAAAACTCTGACAAATTCTATTTGTGGCTCATCTCAGAATAGATGGCGCACTCTCTCTGATGTGTCTGGGTTGTGTGTCGGCACTAGGGTGCTGACTAACCTGGAGAGAAACGGATGTCGGAGATGATGTCCTTGCGGTGGTGGAATGACACCAGGTCCTCCAGAGTGTCCGCGTTAACGATGAGGAAGCTGCCATCATTCAGCCCTACTGCCAGAGCCTTGCCATCCGGAGAGAAACAGCAGCAGCGGCCACCTGCAGTCAAACAATTATACAGTTATATTCATGTGCCTGTATACTAACTAATACTTTCTGCTGTCAGACCAACTAGTCTGGTAAGATCACCAGACTTAAGTATCCCTTGGTCTTGAGAAACCAGCTTTTGCTGTTAGCAAAATTATTTCAATTAATGTCAGTTTAATCTAATTGAAGAGAGTTGACAGTTCAATTTAAGAGGCTGATCTTACAATAATTTGATTACACTGGTTTGGTCGATATTACTTGCAATGTCTATTAGGCAGCATAAAGATGAGAACCAGGGATTCATGAACTTTTTATTGCTACAATTTTCTTAAGTGCCTCTGCCTGCAGGCGGTCAATATGCTCTTAGAATTAATTTGAATTCAGAGTGGGATTCAATCAAATTACATTTTTCACTTAAAAAGAGGTCCAAGAATTGACTGAGATCAAACATCATGCTCTCTATAAATGCACTATAACTACAAGCAGAGTACAGCTGCAGAAAGTATCCATAACTAGTAGTGGGTTACTCAGACTACAGTCCCACTGTGTCCAAACTGTTATTTTGTACTAAACAGTACACTTTTACACCGAATTATTGAGCCTTTGAAAGCCCTTGAAAAACACTTTTAACATAACTAACAGTGAGCACTGCATTATGATTAATACTGCAATTACATCTGGTCAAATACAAGACTTAATAAGGTTTTTTCTCCTGAGTCATACACTATCAAGTCAGACTGTCAACATTTTACTGTTAGATCGTGCCAACTGGGTCTTTTACTATGGATTACACTAGTAATGGATTATTTTAGTAAATACAAGGGACCCCTACCTACCTTTCTTGAGTTTGCGCACGGCAAGCATACAATGGCTGGGAGACAGATCCCATATGCGCAAGGTCTTGTCATCACTAACAGTGGCACACAGTGGCAAGTGAGGGTGGGTGGCCAAACCCCACACTTCTCCCTCCATATGACCCTGGACAACCAAAGCAGAACACACACTTCAGTTTAGCACACACTCTGATTACTGGCCTTAGGGTTCACCTTGGGACCTTTTTACTGTAACAGTCAGGGTTGCATTTCCCAAAAGCTTTGCAGTGGAACAATCTTCACTACGTGGTAGAGAGAGTGTTCTTAGGGTGACTATTGCTCTACAGTACTGTGCATCACCCATGAGCTTCAAAAGCACTAGCAAGAAACTGTGGTCAATGTTGACATCATCATAAGCAAAGTCTGACATCAACTGGGTAGCCGTCCTCCGCCACCATCTTCCAGATCTTCATTGGGAGTGGGCTTAGCTAACACAGCTGAATGAATTACCAAATGCATGCCCACACAACACCTGTGGTAATTTTTTTTTTAATTGGAACTGGAACACTTTGTTAAATTCAAAGCTGGACAGCCATCTGCAGCGCCTAAACCACGATCTGCCCTGCCCCAATACAGAAAACCTCTGAATGGAACTGATGACAAAACTGCCTGGCTGTACCATCACAACCTTACCTGCTTACTCCTGAGTACTGTGTATAAAATAGGGGCCAAAATTCACGAAACCCTTCAAGCAGTATTGGAGCATATTAAGCCATCTGAAGTGTGAATCTCTTAAAGTCATTTACTGTGTCATGCCTTGGAATTACACTGTAAACCTAATTAAGAGAACTTGTTACAAAACCTGTAAATTAGAACAGGGAAAAGGACTGACCTTTCAGCCTTTTGTTCCCCTTTTAGCATGAGAGCAAAAATGTACATACTCTATCCTATTAAGTTACAGCAATAACTCTGTATGTGGTTTAATATACGTATTACATAAAAGGGTCTAGTGAAATTTAGTGAGAATGGGTTATAGAATAGAATGCATGAAACATGCAACATTTTAGTCCTTTTCATTCTAGATATACATTAACTACTGTTGAGGAGAAGACTATACTGTTTCATTTACCACCCCTGAAAACCCAAACTAAACATATTTCACGAACACCAACAAAGCCTGTAAAACGCTGTTCGGGCCAGCCCTACAGGGTTGTAGACAAAATAAGACTACACTACACACTAAACTCCTCATGAACTTGAACCAAGATTAACCAATGGCTAAACCCAAGGCCTTTACCCAAAACTTCTTTGAAAGCCCTTGACATTTTAATAATGAAATGTGCTGGCCACGGCGTGAAGAGTGAGGAGTGACATCATAGCATGGTTCCTTACCTGGACTAGCAGAGTGATGGGCCCACTTTTATCCACCTCCAAAATCTCTCCATTCTTTGTTCCCACAAGTATGTGTCCATGGCCCAGGGATATGGCACGAATGGAGGGATTGTCCTCTAACAATAATCCTACACAGATATGATATGTCCTGATCCATTAGTGACCCTGACTTTGTTTATGAGAAATGATAAAGAAGATCTTCCATAGAAGATATGGAAGTTACAGCTAAGAAGTGCTCTAATAAGTATGTCACAGTGGTAAAGACTATGAAGCTCTGTATTCGATTATGTGCTCTGGGTTATAAATGTAAAAGATGAGAGGCCTACCTTTGGATCCTGGGGCAAGCACAGATCTCTTGATGGCATATGTCTTGAGACACCTCTCAAAAGTGTCATCCCACAAAGCAACTATGCCATCCTTTCCACCAGTCACAAAACCCTACAGGCAAGATTGCATCATTCAATACTTCAACACAAACTACCAATGCAAACATGGCAGTATCTGCAAACTGTTTGTTAAAGCTTTCTTACCTAAGTACTTCAAATTGACCACTTCAAGTTTAATCATAAATATATACAACCCAGTTTCCAAAAAAGTTGGGGTGCTGTGCAAGATGTTAAAGAGGTTAAAAACAAATGCAGATCATTTTAACCCTATATTTAATAGAAAATAGTACAAAGACAACAGGTCAAATGTTGAAACTAAGAAATTATATTGTTTTCTGAAAAATATTTGCCTATCTAAATTTGATGCCAGCAACACGTTTTAAAAATTTGTGACGGGGCATTTTTACCACTGTATTGCATCACCTCTTCTTTTAACAACACTCTGTAAGCGTTTGGAAACTGAGGAGACCGACTGCTGTAGTTTTGAAAGTGAAATGTTTTCCCATTCTGTGCACTAATAACAAGCAGTCTTTGGCCTGGAGGATGCAGTGTCCATGATTTCCATAAAGAATTTCCAGTTTTGATTTGTTGGACAACAGGACACTTTTCCCCTTCGCCTCAGTCCATCCTAAATGAGTTCGGGCCCAGAGAAGGTGGTGACATTTCTGGATCCTGTTTATTTATGGTTTCGTCGTTGAATGGTAGAGTTTTAACTTGCATTTCTGGATGCAGCGACGAACTGTCTTTACAGACAATGATTTTCGAAAGTGTTCTTGAGCCCATAATTTCCACTACAGAACAGCACGAAATTCCCAAGTTCTTCGCTATTTTACCAGTCTTTTGCCACCCCATCTTTTTTGAAACATGTTGCCAGCATCAAATTTAAAATAGGCATACATTTTTCAAAAAACAATAACATTTCTCAGTTTCAACATCTAATATGTTGTCTTTGCAATATCTTCAATTACATATATGGTTTAAATGATTTGCACATCATTGCATTTTGTTTTTATTTACATTTTTCACAGTGTCCCAACTTTTTTGGAAATGGGGCTGTATAAGTTATCATTCTCTCTTTACTACCTTCTCCAGGGCATGCATACTGAAGACTGGTCCATCATGAGCTTTGACTGTTTTCACCAGGAACATGTCCCTCCAGATGCAGATGTCTCCAGTACACGTCCCAGAGAACACCATCTCCTCTGTCCAGCCATATACTGCACACATCATGGTTTCAGTCTTTCCCATGCTGCCCTTCTTCCCTATCAGACCTCCCCCTAGACAAGCACAGAAGTCAGGATAATTTACATGGCTTTCACTACTGCAGCAGTATTAGTTATATCTATAATCAACAAAGTAATCAGAAACTAAAAAAAATTATAAAATGTACTTAACAGACTTAACACACAATTGTTCGTAACTTTACCTGCTTTATGCCAGAACTTCATATGCTTCACTCCAGCAGTGATGAGCTTGTCAGGCATATATGGATTGATTTTAACAACAAATATCTTGTCCTTACTCCCTCTGAAAAAACAGAGAAATATTTAAAGCCCAAAAATAGCAGAAACGCAAACATAAATCTTAATAACATTAGACACGCATCCACAAATACTTTTGTCAGCTCCAAAAAAGCCACAGAGTAAAGCTGCTCTCTGTCATAACAGAGCAGTTTAAAAGTTCACAGGAGCCACTGCTTGGCTGTAATTGAGCTGTCCGCTGTGCCATTTTTACTGTCTACAGAGCGGAGAGAGAGAGCAGAGCGGAGAAAGAGAGAGAGAGCTGGCATCACTGTCTCCCGTTCTGCATTAGTCCCTGTTGCAGAGCGGGCAGAGCAGTGAGCAGTGGCTGCACTGTCAGGCCCTATTTACTTCCACCCGCCTCCCCACCCTCGCTGCCTGCCAGGGTCCTGTAGCGCAGCTCACTCATGCTCTCCACTGCTTCAGAGCTCAGGAACTAACAAACTCACAGTTGCAAGAAGGGAAGTAAGGGTGCATACCATGCATTATCAACCACTATATTTAGTACTATCAATATACTAAAAAATCCAGCATTCCAAGCAAAACATTTTACTCTTAATAAACACTGAACATGAAAACATACATCTACAGTATACTAATTGCAGACTATCAATCTATCAATACCATTTTCCAGAACCAAAAAATGACTGAGATAACTCACTCTCTAAATATACGTTTGACTGATCTATAATTACTGTGTTAAAGATAGGTCGTTGAGTGTGTTTTGACAGGAGAATTAAAGGGTCGCTTCCTCGGATAATGGCTCATGAATAATCTGCACTCATCTGTCATGTGAGAGAGAGAGCAAGGGAGATAGAGTTAAGATGCTAAGACTGCCGCATTAACGACCGTACCCAAACGAGACAGGCCTGAATGGATGAGGTTCTGTTAAAAGGAGTCTGAGTCAATTTCTTAGAGAAGATGCAGGGAGGAGAGTATGTTCTGTATGAAACATATATATGTATATATAAGAACGAATATGATGAATGAGACAGGGTTGCTGCACATTTTTTTAATCAAATTCAGTGCTTTTGAATACATTTTTAAGACCTCAAGAAAGGAAAAATAATTTAATTTCCACCACACAACAATGCACACCAACTCGAATATGAATACATGCTTTAAGACAAGTTCTACTGTCCTCTTGCCCATTGTCAGTGGTCAATTTCTGAACACTGGATGGATATTTTTGTTTGGCTGACAGTTTTGAATTAGTTATTACAGACAATGGCTCCTTTCAACATAGTCTCTATGCATTATCTTAGAATTAAATACCTATATTAGAATAATATAGCTTCAAACTATTTTTAAAATATATTTTGAAACTCTCAAAGCTGATCATATTAACTACTCAGTGCTGTTAGGTATGATATACTTAATACAAGATAACTAACCGGAAGGCTGAGAGCTTTTCTCCTTTCCTCCAGTCCCAGAGAACAATGGTGTGATTATCATCCAGACCCACAGAGGCCAGTCGCTTTCCATCCGCTGAAGAAAGACACACAGTCAGTATCAGCTGCTAATAGCAACGCCATAGCATTGTAAAACATTATGTAATCTGCCTTATTAGCATGTGATCGCTGTAACAATGAAACAAGATGTCACCAGAAACGCATTTTGACAGTAACCAGAGGCATTTAGTAAGGTGCAAAAATAAAATGTAAAATGTTTAAACAGATGATGTACATGACTAAAAAGTACCATGATGCACATAAAGCTTAAAGCATGTTCTCAATCACAGACACGAAGGCATCACACTCCAAGCCTTTTAGAGGCAATGGGTTTAATTTAACACAGTGATCACAGGTTACGCCCAGAACAGGTACAGTCAGTATGTCTGCTACTATTTCCAGCTAGCAGACAGACAGGCAGCAGACAGAGAGCTCACACTCTAATAGGATTGCTGAGGGTGTTGATATTAAAATTGGCTCTGCTATCCACCATTAAGAATCCCATTTTAGAGCTGCAGAAGGTGCATTATATATCATGTTTAGGTGTGTGACAACTCTGTAATTCTCATTGAAATCTATAAGACTAAAATGAAAAAATTACAGATTTAAATCTAAAAATAGATTTAAATTTATAGATTTAAATCTAAACACTAAATGTCAGTCCAAGGTTATAAATTACTATAAGATAAATGATGCAGATTGAAACTGGACACTGTTTACTGTCCCGTTACCTGAGAAGTCAAGTGCACACACTCCAAACTGGTGGAAACCCTTAAGAACTGACAGAGGCTTCAAAAATTCTGTTTCCCAGATGTGTATGGAGGAATCTCTTCCCACCTGTTCAGAAAAACACACGTGTTTGAACCTCAAAGCTTTTAGAAATGAATATGAACTGCAATCAACAAGCATCCTCAACTCGATAGCTAGACAACAAAAACTAACAACTTCCTTGGAGTATGAATAATATCTTTGAAACAAGGGAATAGAAGCCAGATTGCTTAGTGCTGTATGGTTTTAGGGCTTAATGAAGCCAGCTGAGATGAGCCAGAGTGTGAGCATACTTGGCCTGTAGCTACGTAGTCCTTGAGAGGGTGGATGGCCAGACAGAGGATGTCATCGTCATGGCCCAGGTAGAAACGCTGTGTGTTCTGTTGTCTGTTATATACTATCCCCACTGCGGCCACATGGTACACAATCTCCCCAGTCTGAGTGTAGAACAGGTTACTTCTGCAGTCGTAGCCTCGGTAACTGAAACATACCCAGCCAAACAAAGCTGTAAAATTAGCATGAACTGAAGCTCCAACAAAATGAGCACAGTGGGTAAAAAACATTGCAGAATGCTCAGTCAAAAACTTGTGTTTAGTGGTTGAAATATGAAAATACTATATGGCAAAAAGGGCATATAAATGGGTGTGTCCATCAGACTCTGTTTCTTACTGTAGGTATTTTTTATTGAGTAAGCGTAATCAAGTAATTGTGACAGCACTAGTTTATAGTGCTGCTTTAGCCATATGGCAAGTGAGGCAGTAATGGTATGAGGATGGATGGGATGGAGCTTACCCATGGATAAAGTGCAATCTCACTCCACTGGTTGGAGCTCGCTCCCTCTTCTTCATTGCTGCAGCTCGATGCTTCTCCTTGTACTGCTCTTTAAGCTGAGGTAGATCTTCTTTGTAAACCTAACCAGCAGTATTACAGAGTTAAAATGCCACCACATTAGGTATGGATATACATAAAACCAGAATACTAAGACTGGAAAACAGTGCTGCAAAAGGTCCTGGGCCCACTCTTCCAAAAGCATCATAGTGTTAAAACCATCTTAACTGGTAGAGAGAGTGTTCAGTGTGATGCTCACTATTCCGTTTAAGAATGATCTTTGTGCTAAGATGCTTTTGGGAAACCCAGCTCTGTTTTTACATTTATGGTTTATGGCAGATGCTCTTATCTGGAACAACTTACAATTTAATCAATTTACAGAGGGGTCTTGCCCAATGACTCTATAAGTATAGTGTAGAATGCACATCCCAGCAGGGGATTGAAGTCTGCAGTGTAGAGTGCAGAGGTGTTACCCACTACACGATTACAACCTCCACGTTATGTTCATGCAGAAATTTATTTTGCAACGATGGATTCACAGACCTGTCGCCGGTATGTGAGCTGTGTTTCCTGTTCAATCTCTGAGTCCATCTCAGGCACGTCTGATTGGTCAGAATCTGACTCCTCGCTGTTTGAATCAGCCAACATCTCTGTGAGATTAGTGGAGGAAAACAAAAATCAGCTGGGAACGTGGACACTCTGAATACTTGACACTTGTAAGAGCTGTAAATCAACAAACTGGCAACTACAGAATTCCTTGTTACATTAGAACAAACTATTCATCTTTCTTGACTGAATACTGACCCACTGCTCAGCAGCACCATCAGTCAAACTCACAGTGAAAAATGCTGATGGCTGGTAAACAGCACTGCCAAGATGAGTTGTAAAAGAGCCATTAGGAAAATTAACTGCTGTACTGCAATGTAAAATGTGCAAAAAAAGCAACTCTTCTACTCTTAGTGTAGACTTTGTTACAAATGTCTGCAGTGTGGTAAGTGATCACATTAAAGCTTATAAACCTTACAGTCAAATCCTGCAAATATTCCTCCAGTAACAATGAAATGAAATGTTTTATAATCTTACAATTCTGTAATTCTATAACTGCTTAATTGTTGAACTGTACCTTGTGGAGCTATATGAAGAGTTTCTTTTGACTTCCTTTCAGGTACAAATTTCCACTGGAACACTGAATGGTCAGCTCCACCGATACTTATCACCCACTGATAATCATGTGACCACCTTACATTGGTTATATGTGCAGAGTGTCCTAAGTATTTTTTGAACTTTGCACCTTAGACAAATCAAGAAAATATATATTCAAGTACAAAGAAAAAGACAGTACATCAAAATACAAGAGACCCAAATTTAAAAAAGTATAAAATACACCAACCTTTTCTTATGCACGGATATCGTAATAATTTAACTAATCCATAATCATCAGCTGTTACTAAAACTTGACTACTGAAGTTGGCATCTACAGAGTTGATATCATTGATGTCAGAGTATTTGGGCCAGATTCCGTTTACTTCTGGACCAAGAACACATGTCCACGTGGACCACTGGACTAGCTTCAGCTCTTCTCTGTTAGTCACCTCCTTCCCACCTTCACACAGAAACACCAACAACCCACAAAGACGTAAGAGGAGGAGGGTATGTGCGCTAAAATCACAACATTGTGTAGAGAAAACCCCAAAATCGAATGCACTTACTGGGCATTCGGTAGAAGAGCCTCTTGCCGCTGCCATCATTGGTCTGCAGGTATTTGCTGTCAGTGGACCAGTCCATGTGTGTGATAAAACTGAGGGAGCCTACACACTCTCCCACCTTCTTATAACGTTGCACCACACTATAGATGTCCACTGAATTATCATTGGAGCCCACAGCTAGATGAGCCCCATCAGGAGAGTACTTCAGCTCATGGATGGCCTCCTTACGGTCCTTAATGTGCACCACCTCCGTCATGTCCCTGTGGAAAGGTCCTTAATTTAGCACTGCTCACTTTTACTCCTCTATCGCACAGTGCTGCAATTACAAAGTGGCAGTGACAGCTACACTTAAACATTTGAATTTAGTGTGAATATTTACATTTCATGTAATGCTGCATTATATCATTTAATTTAAAATTAACTAACAAAGAGATGTGGCATATATTAGAACCTTAACAGAAAGTCATTCTTCTTTTGGAGTGTCTCCTCTCTGTCAGACTCATGTATCTAACTGACCTGACTCTCAGTACAGTGAAGGAGCCGTCTTTCATGCCCAGAGCCAGGTGAATACCATCAGTGCTCACTGCTGCGCAGCGGATAGGTTCCTCCATGTTACAGCGCGCTATCAAAGCATGGTCTATAAGGCTCCAGATCCTACACAATATACAGAGACAAAAGAGCATGTGAAAAAAAGAACCCATGCACTCTTATTTTGATGTAATAGAGATGTATATAATTGTATGTAATATCTAGGGCCCAAACAACATATGTTTTGGCTGAAAAAATCTGACAATATTTCAATGATGGTTTCAATGATTCATCAGAATCTGTGAGAAAAACAGCCACTAAAGCACCAATAATCACTTTTTGAAATGTGATATAAGAAAACTATGTTCATAAAAAGTGATGCAGTTTTGAACAAACCAAATTAAATTTGCCGGTTAATTTTAATAAACTGGAAGAGTGAAAACTAATAATCATATCAGACAAATGACAATCTTTGAGTAAGGCACTGTTTAACTAAAACTACTGCAGTTTATCTTATTTTTTTCCATATACCCTAAAATTCTGGTAGGTATCATCTTTCTGGTAAATATTATCATTCATTAGAATTTGTAGCTTCTGAAAAATCTGCAATATTCATATCGCTCAGGCCTTGTATCTAGTGTGTGGATTTGGTCAGCTCAGTACCGGACAGAGCGGTCATCACTGCCAGTCATGGCAAGGGGTTTTGTGGGGTGGACAGCCAGGGCCCAGAGCTCGCCCTCACAGTGGCCCTGCATGATAAGGAAGGGCTTTGTGCGGTCGTGCACCACCACCTCAAAGATCTCACTGTCTTGAGTGCCCACCAGGATGTGATCCCCTCTCCAACACACACTGCGCACCGACAACCCTAAAACAAACCCCCAACACAAAAACAGAAATAAAATAAGCAATAAGGTAATTTTTTTAATTACCAAGTTAATCGTGATCCTGGGAGACACTGAAAATGGAACCAGGATAATTTGGAAAAGGCAGGATTGCATGATTACACCAGCTTGACAAATGTTGAAATGACTCAGTGAAATTGGAGGAGCAGATAGGGAGGACCTTAGGAGCTTGTGGACATCTAGACATCTGCAGGGACTATGGTACTGGACATGAATTACAGTGGGACTCTTTTAATGATAACTTCATTAATGTAACCCACCTCTGGAATTTTCACCTCTAGCTACTGATGAGTCAAAGCAAAGTGTGTAAAGGAGCAAAAGAAGAAACACAGAGCACCAATTAACACTGAAACACTGCATAATTATAATTTCAGCTAATGTATTCTAGTGTCTTTAGAAATAATTGAGTTATAATATTTGGGACTATATTTAATAACACCAGTGCCAAAGCTAGAACATGCAGTCGATAGCCAGAATGGGCTGCTAGACTATGCATCACCTTTATATCCCTGGTCTGTTTCCCTGAGGTCGATGACAGTGATGGGTTTGAAGCTCAGGTCCCACAGTCGAATGCAGCCGTCTCTGCCACCAGTGGCAAAGCCCTCTTCACATGCATTCATGCTGAAAATCCCTGACTGCAAAATACAGACAGAGACGCATGAGCTCTGAGTACTGAGGAACTGAACACCAACAAAACCTGCACCCAACACGCATTTCTCCACCACACATTTAGGGCTTAGTTTCACATATAAAATACAATTATGCAATGATCTGTAAAGGTGCACAGAAAAAAATCCTAAAAAAATTTTCTACTCAGCAGCATGCTGTGTCACCTTGTGCCATAACATGAACATAATTTCACTTTAGACTCCTTTCTGGGAATGTGCAGTGATAGAATCGTTAATAAAAACAACACTCATGCTGTTTATGTTTTGCAAACATGATCACTACTGCTGTTTTATTGTTAATCCTTCAGAAGACCTTAGTAATGCTATGCAAAACCAATGGCTTTATTAACTGCTCTTATATATTAAATACATATTAAAAGCTGTTTTTTTTAGTTTTGAGACTCTCTGTAAGAGGAAAGATCCGATACTTAAGAATATCTTTGACACATTTGTAAGTTGTAGAGCCAATGTAAGTGGAAAAACTCACACTGAGATGCACTGCACATATTCTATATGTCTATTGCACATATTTAATGCAAACTTCTTGTTTTAGGACTACATAGTTGTTTCCATGAAAAACAACAAATGAGAAACACTCAAGAGACAGAAGGGCTTTTACTCATTTTGGAACATTATTTCTTTCTGGTACTGCACTGAAATCGTTTCACCCTTATGTATGTGTTATATAGGTTACACCCTATATGTCAAACACAAGGCCTGTGGGCCAGATGCAAAGCAATCCTTAACCCGCAAAATGATTTTAATTCTCTATTATTACTAGCCCGTTTTGTAATGCACTTCACTACAATCCTCAGCATGCACTGCTACATAGTGCGTGCTCCCACCCCCGTCTCCTAACAACAATCTATGGGACAGCGGTCACACCTCAGTTAAACCATACCAGTCATATCACCAAACACACTAGCTGCATATAAACACTTGGCTCAGCAGCTCAGACACTGATCACAAGATTTAATGAACTTGCAGTAAAGAAAAGATGCCAGGTGTCCATATAAAGCACACAGGTATGTTTGAAAGACCTACCTCCTGGGGACATTTTTTTTTTAATATTTTAAAGTTTTCATGTAATATTTCAAGGTCTACTAAGAATGCCTATATTTTGCTGTTGATGTTTTGCCGTATTTGTAATAAACCATGGCCAGTTCAGGTTATAGCAAAATGTTATTTAAAAATTAAATCAAAACACAAGCGCTCGTTCTCTGCCCCAAGGACTTTTTAATATGGCTCTTTTAGGGGTTAAGTTTGACACCCCTGGCTTACACTATACTATAAAGTATTGTAATGGAGCATATAGATCAGACGGATGAGTGCCTTGAAAGTCATGCCACTGAAGAAAGCTGTTTTCCACAGCTAAGAGTGTGTGTGAGTAAATGTCTTGCAGTAGTGTGTGAATTCGCTCAGAGATGAGAGGCATTTGTCATCATCTGATCCACTGGGAGCCAACGGTGAGAACCAATATGACAGCAGCACAAGAACACCAAGCGATAACTATTCCCTAAGGGCCACGTTTCTAATAACTTTCTTTTCCTCTTAGTGTCTTTCTTTCCTTTTCTCTTGTAAGCACTGGCTTAAGTTAACCAGCACATCATAGATCTGCCTGACAGTACAGCTTCACAGAACAAGACACTGCAGAATGTGTAAAAAACAACCGCCAGGAAATGTATCATAGACATCAGCAATGCCTTACAGCCTTGTCATTTCAGAGGATGGTTCACAATCAGCTTCCTGAAAAAGCTGACACAAAACTATGTTACCCTGCAGCTATCAGAGGCAATAATCAAAGCAATAAAAAAGCAGTAGTCTTATCACTACTATACCCCATTTATCACAGTCATGCAGGTTTAATTTTTTTTTATTTTACAGCATAGTGCATGCCTATGTGCAAGCAATTGTGCAGTGCATGTCTAAATCCTCATACAACTGTCTCAAACCATGCTCAGTTAACCCTTTAAAGCCATCACAGAAATGTGGTTATTTCCGCTATTTAATATAGTCTTCTCCATTCATAACGAGATTCCTCAGCGCTGTTGCATTAATTAATTTAATATGTAAAGAAAGTGTTCTAACAAATATATTCTTAGATTCTTAGATTGGCTTTGTGGTTAAATTAGATTTTTGGCTGAGCCTTCGCTTCAGAGGTCACCACAGGAGAAGGAACATTACTGGGACATTACTTACCCCGTGTGCCCCCTGAATGGTCCGTATCAAGTTGACTCCCTTCCAGACATAGATATCTCCATTCAAGGCACCTGAGTATGTGACCTCATCTCTGGCACAAGCCACGCAGAGGATGGTCTGTAGCTCACCTGTCCTCCCAAACACACCACGTTTAGGGGTCAGAGCGTTCCCACACAGACTCCAGAACTGAGAAGAAGAGACAGACAAAGGATGAAGTACCTAACATTTGAAATATATTCTAATTGCTATACTGATTTTTTTGTAATGTTTTTGTAATGATACTTTACCTATTAACAATGGTTAGGTGCTTCCTGAATATGAATTAAAAAAAAACTGAAATCTGAGGCTTTGTAAAATGTGCAAAAAGTACTATAATGGGGGTATAACAAGGTGTAGAAGAACGAAAGCATGACTCATTATGGTGTAAACAACCAGCTGCACATGGTCATGACTAGTTCTGCTCATGAAGAATATGAATCTGTGTGCAACAGCTGGTATAGTATATGTGCATAGATACACATAAACACATCTAGCAGGTATAACCTTCTACAAATAAATTTTACATTTCCCAGAATGCAGACAGATTAGTTCCACTTTTTACAAACCTCAATTCCAGAAGTTGGGACAGTAAGTGAAATGCTAATAAAAACAGAAAGCAACTTATATCCACCCATTAGCACTGTGCAAAATACCTGCAACATATTTTAAAAAAGCTGTGAAAGAAGCATTATTACCATGTATTGCATCACCTTTCCTTTTAGCAACACTGAATGGTTTAGGGACTGAAGACACTAATTAATCCAGTTTTGAAAGTGGTATTTTTTGCCAATCTTCCATTATACAGGTCTTCAGCTGTGCAACCACACCGAGCCTTCACTGTCGTAAATTGCGATACGTTTTCAATGGGAGTCAGGTCTGGACTTCAGGCAGGCCAGTCTAGCACCCCCACTCTCTGATTATGCAGCCATGTTTTTGTAACATGCAGAATGTGGCTTGTCGTTGTCATGTTTAAATAAACACTGATGCCCCTGAAAAACACATCATCTACAAGGCAGCATATGTTGTTTCAAAATGTGCAAATGTGTTTCAGTGGTAATGGTGCCTTCACGGATGTGCGAGTTACCCATGCCAAGGGCATTAATACACACTCCTATACCATGACAGACAACAATCTGGATGGTCCTTTTCTTCTTTGAGTCAGAGAGTACAACATCTGATAGGTTGACTCTATATATGTGTTTATTGTGCATCTGTCCATTTCAGCTGAGCTCCTGCTGTGCATAGTACAATCTTTACTAGCATTTGTGGATACATCCAACCATCACAGTACCACACCAGATTTTAATGCATCGCCATCTGAAGGATTAAAGGTCATAAGTATCTATTGATGATATTATGCTATGCAGAGGGTGAAATATCTAAAATCCTGACTGATGAGGAACTTTGTTATTAAATTGCTGGCTTATTCGCTGACACAATGAGGACCCTCAACTCATTCTCACTCTTAAAGCACTAGGCCTTTCCAGGATGCACGCTTTTATACCCAAGCATGACAGCATCACCTGTTTGAGATGTTTTTTGAGCTAATGATAATTTCACAACATTCCTTGTCTAAAAAATTAAATTAAAACTAAACTGTCCCCATCCCAACTTTTTTGGAACATGTGGCAAACATGGCAATTTCAGAATGAGCTTATTGCAAAAAAAGAAGAAAAAAAAGAAGCTGATAAGGTAAAACAAACATCTCATGTTTGTACTGTTTTTGTTTAAATATAGTCCAAAATTTCACACGCCATCCCAACTTTTTAGGAACTGAAGTCTGTATATTTTATAAATGTTTATGTATCAGCATGTGCAGATAAATATTGTAATTGGCCCACAATTCCCATATTAGCATTCCCAAGTATAACCCACAAACACAGACAAACACCCACACCCACAGATGCACGCACACACGTTTTGTGTTGCCATTAATAAAACAGGTCTTTAAGATGCACAGGCACGATCTGAGCCAGCACTGATAACACACGCAAGGACACTCTGGGCATAACAACTGGCTCATGGGTTTGTGTGTGTGCATTTGTGTGTGTCATTGTTCCAGGTCACACAAACCTATCTGAGAGAACATCATGATTCATGTGTGTGTCTGTGTGTGTGTGTGTGTGTGTGTATGTGCGAGAGTATGAGAAAGATCCATTGCAGAGCACCATTTTTCCAGGTCACACACACCTGTCTAAGAGCGCTCCATGAGAGCAACCGGGTCACCTGTGTATGACCTCATCCCTCCAAGTGTTAAACTCACTGTGACAGAGCTGAGCTAAGAGAGGAATAATTACGCATCCTCTCGTTTAAAGACGGCTATTAGCCATTTAGCCCTCTTGTCAGGATCCTGCTGAAAGCTCTATCAGAACCAAGATTCAATACTATACATATAGTGCCACTTTTGTGAACCTGGATTAAGTTTAATTTTGAACTAAACTAAAATGGTGTTTCACCACTAAAAATGTATTTAGTCTAGGCTTAGGCTTAATCTGAGGCTGTGAAACCTATTTCATATTTTTCTTATTTCAAATAGTTTGCTCCTAACTTTAATCCAGACTAAAACATGAATGTTGTAATAAGGGAGAGTTTAGATCTCAGCTTTCAATGTCAAGATGCTCCAAATACATTCGACTGTGAAGAGCTAAATAACTTTAAAAAGTTGGCAAAGTTAGGAGCCAAGTATTGATTTCTAAATTTTGTACTTTAAATATGGACAGTACAGATGATTCATAATAACTAAAGAAGTTTAATATGCATTCAGAGTAGGTGGCTAAAGCTTCACTAAATAGTTAGAAAGAGGTGAAGAAGAGAAGGTGAAAAAAGAGAGAAATCGAGAGTTTGGTTCAGTGATGATCGTGTCACAGCAGGGCGGATGGTGCTCCAGCCAGGCTGACTGCATTACGTTAGGAAAGCAGCAAGCCTCATTGAATCATAGGCCTTGGGTTTGCAGGTCTGCTCTTTGGAAAAGCTTTTAATGTAATCAAAATGAGTCACTGCTATTTGTCTGCCAAGCCCCTCCACACACTCACACACGCACACGACACCACCGCCTGTTCTCCTAGACTCTCCCTACATTGCGCACACAGAAGACCCTGTCTTCTTCACGCTTTAGCATCACTACCGTTTCATTTCACAGACCTGCAATCAAAATCAGAGTCAAAATCATGTTTATTCGGTATTTAAATTAAAATGCATTAGTCCCAGATGCCATATTCAACACAATTTACACCCATATATCGTACCACAATAAGACTTGATATTCTATTCGTCAGACACTTTGTTCAGCCAACATATTGTCACTGTCATAATCCCATAACCCCATTTTTTTTGTTTGTTCCTTTGTTTTTAGTGGTTTTGAAAACACTAGCCACCTTTATCATTCTGTGAACATTTCATGATGAATTGACCAATGGAAATGCTTGAAAATTACTTGGAATTAAATCTTGTTGCACACACACACACACACACTCACACTCATCTTGTTGCAATAATATAAATTAAAATTAAGATTATTTTATCCAACACATCCCTATTTTCAAGGTTTTCTGATAATAGTGATAACAGCTTATGTCCCATAACAAGTAAACAAGCACTGTGTTTTGTGTTAATACTCTACACAGTCAATCAAAGGCACTGGAAAAGAAAAGTAATAAAGATCACATTGAAAATATGAAAAAATCTAACCTTCTAGTCTAGTCTAAGAAAATAAAAAACCTTATCATTACTTTTTAAACAAGACGTGTCACAAATACTGGCACCACAAGTAATTCTTATAAACAAAATGTAACTTAGGCATGGTCTCATTTATTTTTCACTTTTTTAAGGCCCAGCTGAGTGTTTAGAATGCCTCATGCACTCACCCATGACATTCCTGTTTCACTGGGGTATGAATATGCGGTGACACAAAGGCCAAGTTCCCTTAGTCATTAATCAACATAGGGAAGACTAGAGAATGCACAAATAAAATGAGACAACACGGTGTTAGGCTTCAAAAATCAGGCAATAGCTATGAAATAAAAAGCTACGAGCCTAAAATGCACATACACACTGTTATGGCGACGTTTAAAACAATCTGAGCTATAGTAAATCTGTCTGGAAAAGGTCACAAGTGTATTGCGCCCCCATGTACAGTGTGGAGAATTGTTAGAGGTGCAAACATCAAGGATCACTGTTTGAGATTTGAAGAAAACTGTATCATTTTGTGGTTACTGTGTCTCCAAAATTACAACCTTGATGCCACCTTAATGCCATCAAACTATTTGGAAGGTGTACCAGAAGAAAGCCCTTTCTTTTTTTGGGATTTTTGTCCAGTTATCTCCCCAGTTTAGTCATATTCAGTTACACCCACTAGTTAGGCCCCCCACCACACTATACCACCAGCATTAGGAGGGCAAAGGCAAACACAAGCTTCCCCCAAGTCATGTGAAGCCAGTCAATGCATCTATTTGAACTGCCACTAACGCAATGTCATTGGACATTAGAGGTGGGAATCTCTAGGCACCTCACGATTCGATTTGATTACGATTCAGAGAGCTGTGATGCGATTATAAAACGATTATCAATGCATCTTTTATTTTCTATGCATCATTTCTATTTTCTCACTGTGTGAGGACTTGGTACTTTTAAAGCAAAGTATTTGTAATGATCCATAATGAATTTACTTCCAATATCTTTTATTAATAAATCAAATGGAAGTGATGTGGCAAGTGAACTAGAAGGCTCTCATTCACTGCCTTTGGAGCATATGAGACACTGCTGCCACTCATCTGCGCAGTTACGGTGAAATAAGATCCAGTGGTAATGGATGTCCACGCAGCACGTTACAGCCGTCCTACCCATTTTTAGTGACTTTATAACTTTGGTTTTGGTCTCGTTGCAGAGACGGGGTGGGGGATCGCGGTGTCAGTAAAATATCTACGGGTCGTGTGCAACATAGCGCGAAAGCCCTGTTTCGCAACGACTGAGAATTGCCGTGCAGACTGCAGGTCACATAGCAACGATGCATTATTTTCAACATTTGTGAATCAACTCAGAATCGTTCACGTCCACATCGCGATGCATCTAAGAATCGATTTTTTCCTGCACCCCTATTAGACAGCTTAACACGCTTGGAGAAGAATGCTAACTGCCAGTTCTGTTACATC